GGGGATGGGGTGGGTGAACAGACATGTTTGGGGGTGGAGGGGTGGGTGGAGGGACGTGTTTGGGAATGGAGGGGATGGTGGGTGGGTGGATGGATGCGTTTGGGGATGGAGGGGTGGACGGACGGACGTGTTTGGGGACGGAGGGGAGGATGGACGCATTTGGGGATGAGGGGTGGGTGGACGGACGAGTTTGGGGATGGAGAGGATGGACGGCCGTGTTTAAGGATGGAGGGTGGGTGGACGGACGTGTTTGGGGATGAAGTGGCATCAAACCCAGAGCAGGTGGTGGGTGTCAGTGGGCGGAGCCCATGTTGTGGGGGCGGGCTAAGTTATCTGTTAATTTTCCCTTTTCCTTCTCTCCCCCGCCCCCCGTCCCAAGCCAGCAGCCGCTCGCCCTGTGCATCACCACATCTGAGCCCCATGGAGCTGATGGCTCTCGCGCTGCTGGTGGTGACTGCAGGTGAGGGGGGTATATGAGAGAGGGGGGGCTGTGGGAGGGGAAGAGGGTGTGTAGGGAGGAGGGGGTTGTGTGCACATGGGGGGCTGTGTGTGCAGACAGGGACGGGGGGGCCATATGGGGGAAATGGGTTTTTGGGGGGGTGCATGTGTGCAGGGAAGGATTGTGTATTTGGAGGGGGAAGGGGAGGTGTGGGGGGGAGGGATGGGGGTTGCGGGAGAATGGGGAGGTGTGGGGGGATGGGGTGGGGGCAGAGAGAGGGTTGTGGGGGGATGGGAAGTGTGGGAAGAGGGAGAGGGTCATTGGAGGAGGGATGGGGAGGTATGGGGGCAGGGAGGGGTTGTGGGGGATGGGGGTGAGGGCAGGAGGGGGTTGGGGAAGGGGAGGGGTTGGGTCAGGGAGGGAGTTGTGGGGGGCAGGGAGGGAGTGGTGTGGGAGGGTTGTGCATAGCTGCAATTTCTGAGGGGGTCTGGCCATGACCTTTGCCCGCAGTGGGGTGGGGAGGCGTTGGCAGTGGGGACTTAAAGGGCCTGACGCATCTTAATGCATGAGCCACTTGGGCCTTGACTAGAGTATGGGGATAGATAGATAGACAGAGGGGGTGTGGGGGGATGGATGGATAGATAGAGGGGGTGTGGGGGGACAGATAGATAGATAGATAGATAGAGGGGGTGTATGGGGATAGATAGATAGAGGGGGGATGGATAGTAGTGATGTGGTGGGGCTGGATAGATGAATATTGGTGGTGTGGGGATGGCTAGTGGTCTGTGTAGGGGACGGATAGACAGCTAGAGGGGGCGTCACAGATGCTGGAATTGGGGTTTTAGAGGTGGTGCTGCACCCCCTGGCTTGAAGTGGTTTCCATCATATACAGGGTTTACATTTTGGTCCAATGGCTCTCTGCACTCCCCACTATAGAAATTGTTCCAGCATTCCTGGGGGGTGTTGGGATGGATAGATAAAGCGGGGTGGGGGGATGGCTAGATAGATAGTGAGGAGGGGATTGTGGGGCTGGATCGATAGTGGGCTGTTTGGGGATTGATGGATAGATAGATCCATCAGTGAATCCTCTCCCATGGCTCCAGCAGCTGGGGATTTAAGACCCAGACAAAACACGGTGCCCCTTGCCCTAAAATCACTGGAACTGGCCCCACGACCCATTGCAGCAGCTCTGCCTGTGACCCCAGCGCCCGCCTGCTGGCCCTACCCCAATCTCACCCCAGTCCTACCCCGGGCCCCTCGTGCTGACGTGGGGTTTGTCGACAGGTGCTGCAGTGTCTGCCCAGGACGACGGGGGCCGGATCATCGGTGGGTTCACGTGTCCCCCCTACTCCCAGCCCTGGCAGGCCTACGTCTACGGCCCACTGCAGTGCGGGGGCATCCTGGTCGACAGGAGCTGGGTGCTCTCCGCCGCCCATTGCTACAGACCGTAAGTGTGTGTGCATGTGTGTCCCTGCTGCCCCCTGCTGGAGGGGCTGAGCCCTGGTCTGTGTGTTTGTGTGTGTGTGTGTGTATATATGTGCCCCCCTGTTGCCCCCTGCTGGAGGGGCTCGGCCCTGCACTCTGTAGTGTGTGTAGGTTTGTGTGTCCCTGCCGCCCCCTGCTGGAGGGGCTGAGCCCTGGTCTGTGTGTGTCCCTGCCGCCCCTTGCTGGAGGGGATGGGCCCTGCTCTGTGTGTGTGTCTCTGTGTGTGTCCCTGCTGCCCCCTGCTGGAGCGGCTCGGCCCTGCACTGTGTGGTGTGTGTAGGTTTGTGTCCCTGCCGCCCCCTACTGGAGGGGCTGAGCCCTGGTCTGTGTGTGTCCCTGCCGCCCCTTGCTGGAGGGGATGGGCCCTGCTCTGTGTGTGTGTCTCTGTGTGTGTCCCTGCCGCCCCCTGCTGGAGGGGATGGGCCCTGCTCTGTGTGTGTCCCTGCCGCCTCCTGCTGGAGGGGCTGGGGGCTGCTCTGTCCAATTTCTCCCCCATTCCCAGGAGGGCGGCAGCGGCGGGGGTCTGTGGCCCGTGGGGCCAAGCCTCTGACTATCGGCTCCCTCTTGTCCCTGGCGGCTAGCGGCCTGCGGGTGCGGCTCGGGGAGCAGAACCTGGCGGTGCAGGAGGGGCCGGAGCAGGACCGAGTCGTGGCTCGTGTCATCCTGCATCCCAACTACAACCGCTTCACCCTGGACAGCGACCTCATGCTGCTCAAGCTGGCGCGACCGGTCAACATCGGCCAGACCGTCCGCCCTGTCACGTTGCCCTCGGCCTGTGCGGCCACCGGGACCATCTGCCTCATCTCAGGCTGGGGTACTGTCACCAGCCCCCAAGGTAAGGCCGGGGAGGAACCGGGAACATCAGTCGGGAATGACTCCCGGGGCCTGAGTCAATCCAGTGTCAATCAGGAGTGAGTCCCTATATGTCCTTGGGGCTGACACCAGGGTGATTCAATAAGGAGTGACCCTGTGCAGGTCTCTGGGGCTGATTTGAGCCAATGTCACTCAGGCGTGACTCCCGGGGCCTGAGTCAACCCAGTGTCAATAAGGAGTGAGTCCCTATATGTCCTTGGGGCTGACACCAGGGTGATTCAATAAGGAGTGACCCTGTGCAGGTCTCTGGGGCTGATTTGAGCCAATGTCACTCAGGCGTGACTCCCGGGGCCTGAGTCAACCCAGTGTCAATCAGGAGTGAGTCCCTATATGTCCTTGGGGCTGACACCAGGGTGATTCAATAAGGAGTGACCCTGTGCAGGTCTCTGGGGCTGATTTGAGCCAATGTCACTCAGGCGTGACTCCCTGGGGCTGATTCAACCCAGTGTTAATCAGGAGTGACTCCCTATGTGTCCCTGGGGCTGATACCAGGAGCGACCCCCTGTGGGGTCTTGGGGCTGATTCAAACCAGGGTCACTCAGGAGTGACTCCCTGGCACTGATTCAATCCGGTGTCACTCAGGAGTGACCCCACTGTCTCGGTATTTTCCCCAGCCACGTTCCCCAACCTCCTGCAGTGTGGATACGTCCGGATCGTCTCGGCCCAGAGCTGTCGGGCTTCCTACCCCGGCCGGGTCACCAACAACATGGTGTGCGCAGGGGTCATGGGTGGGGGCATTGACTCCTGCCAGGTGAGCCACAAACCACAGGGGTGGGGGGCTCAGCCCACTCCCCTGGGTCTCTGCCATGACCCTAGGAAGGGAAGTCTCGGGGTGGGAGTGGGGATCTGGAAGGGGCTGGTGGATAGTTGGGGGGAGGGACGGGCACTGCCCCATGGGGGTGGAGGGGAGTGTGGACTCCCCCCCCCCCACACATGAAGGGGAGTGGAAGGGGGGCACATAGGCAGCGCCTCTTGGGGGAAGGTCTGGCTCTACCCAAAAGAGTGGGCAGGGGGCACACACTGGGGGAGAGGTGGCCTGCCCCACAGTGTGGGGGCAGAGGCGGCCCAGATTCAGAGCCATCGTTTGCCACTTGTCATGGCAAAAGCAGGATGGGGATGGGGACCCAGTGGGGAGGGGGAGGAGCTGGGGGGTCTGGGTTTTCAGAGGGGATTGGAGCCCCATAGATCACGCTAGCTCCCCTTAAGGCAGGGGACCATGGACTGGGTCTACAGGTGCCCCTCAGTCCCGACCCGCAGCCCCCGCTAGCCCTGCCCTGGGCTCCTCCCACCCCCAGCTCTGCCGGCAGGCCTCACTCCCAACCCACAGCCCCCTCCTAGCCCAGCCCTGGGCTCCCCCCAGTCCTCCCAGCTCTGCCGGTGCCCCTCAAGCCTGACCCACAACCCCCTGCTAGCCCGGTCCTCGGCTCCCCCAGCCCAGTCGAGGGGGGTCGTTATGACGCAAGGTGTCTCTCCACAGGGTGACTCCGGAGGTCCCCTGCTGTGCGCTGGGCAACTCCAGGGCATCGTGTCCTGGGGGCTGCAAACCTGCGCCCAGCCCAACAGGCCCGGCGTCTACACCAAAGTCTGCAACTATGTCGGATGGATCCGCAGAACCATCCAGCTGAACTGAGGACGGTGCCAGGGGGCAGAACCCATAATAAAGCCTGAGGAGCAGGGTCTGTGTCTTGGTGTCTCAGCTCCTGGGCCCCTGGGAGCGGTTGGACCCAGGTTCCACCAAGCAGAACCTGGCTAACAGCTCCTGTTTCTTCCCACCCCTGAACCAGGTGCATTAGGCACTGGTTGGGGCCCAAGGGCAGGCCCTAAAATACTGACATGGCAGGGAAATTTCTCTCCCTTGGGTCTACAAGCAGCTGGTGCCCCTCACTACTGACCCACGTCCCCCTGCTTTCCCAGCCCTGGAATCCCCCCCAGCTCTGCCAGTGCCCCTCAATCCCAACATGCAGCCCCCTTCTATGCCAGCTGTTATATGGGTAAACACCTTCCAGGTTTGCAGGAACTATAGCTAGTGGGAAAATTATCCCTCCAAAGCTTTTTTTCAACTAAGACTTTTCTAGCTAACTCCTTACCAGGCTCCCATCCCCATGGTGTCTGGGCACCTCAACCTCTTCAATGCATTTAACCTCACGCCGATCCTAGCTAGCTCTAGCCCCGGGCCTGAGGGCAGCAGCTCAAAAAACTCTGCTGAGATAATTGGTTTTTATTATCAAGTCGGTGGCATACAGGACATACATATTTCTCGAACAATTCATAAGAAAAAGGGTAAATAAAAAAAATGAAAAGCCAGGCCCAGCTTCCACCTGTCATGACCTTAAAGCCGAGCTTTGAACCTTGATCCCAGGCAAATACAAACCAGCGACAAAAGCAGGGTGAAAGAATCCCACGCGCATCTGCATCACAACCGAGCCCATCCCACAGCCTGGCCCCTTTGCCACAGGCAAAGTGAAACGTTGGATCACAGACATAAGGGCTGGTTGGTAGAGATTTTTCCCTCCTGCAAAAATTTTCAAACTTTCACTTCCCTCCCCTCTCTCCCAAAGCCAAGATTTCCAAATTCTTCACACAATGAAATACTGGGCGCAGAACTCATTTGAGCTTGCGCCAAACGATTCTGACCTTGGGCTTTTGTCCAGTCTCACACACGTATTGCAAAAGAATATGTTGCTTCAAAACGGCGAAGGGAAATTTTGTGACGTGACCAAACAGGTTTTGCTCTTTGCAAAACTGCCCTCGGTGTTTTGTTAATCTAAACGCTGTCCCCAAAATCACGACAATTTCGCCAAAAATAAATTCCATTTCAGGCAAATCACATTTTCCAACTGAAAACCATTTAGCGGAAAATTTTTCAACCGGCTCTTAATTCAGCTGGTCGTCCAGTCTGACCTCCTGCATAGCAGAGGCCAGAGAATGGCCCGCATGGATCTCTGCTGCCAGCCCAGATCTGGGGGTTGAGCTGGAGCCCCCTTAACTCTGCTCACAAATTTCTGCAACATCTGACGCCAAGCGAACGGGAAAGGACGGCTAGCAAAGTGAGATTCCCACAGGTCTAAACTGGCACTCACTGTGGAGTTATTTTAATCTACACTGCTTGAGGTTCTGCCAGGTTTAGCTTCCTTCCATAGTTTCATTGTCTACCAATCAGACTCAAACGCAATGAACTTCAGAGGTGGATTTCTCGTCTCCCGCTGAGAAAAAAGCGGAGAAGGCTTTTGCTCTGCAGGGCGTACATCTTGGAAGCAGCCACGTAGCACAAAACAGAACTAAACGCAAAGGAGATTTTACTTGCAGGCAGAGAGACGCGGGGCCCGTTCAAATGAGCCAGGTGTGATGGCCAAACTCCGGGGAAAACGTCTGCTAAAAGCCAGCACTGGCTGGGAAGCCTAGAAGCTGATAGCAGGAGGGGAAATATACAAGAGTGACTGAACCAAAAATAAAAATGCAGTACCACTCTCCAAACCTCTGTTCAGATTCATAGAGCGAGGGGGGGAATTTTTGAGATTAAGAAATTTTCCTCTCCTGATCTGGGATGAAAAACCCCAGCTCGTGACAATTTTGGCAAAAAGCCAGAAAAAATTTCAGCTGGGCTCAAAACATTTCATTTCCATGATTTTAAGGAGCGTTGTTTTGCGGTCAGCTCTTTTTAAGCCCACTCTTACTAAAATTTCAAACCAAAAATGTCGACTCAAAACCCCCAACCCTTTTCATGCTGACGCATGGACAATTGATAAACTTTCTGCCCTTGATACATTTTCCACCTCAGGAGATTCCTCCAAACCCAGACTGTGGCGTATCCAGCTCGTTTTGGACAAATCTCCCAACTCGAAAAAGTTTCCATTTCGATGAGTCTGCATTTTTCAGTGGGGAAAAACGGTTTGCCAAAAATCACCTCCCGACCGGCTCTGCCCTGGGGGAGTGAACGCTGGGATTCCAAAACTCACTTTTGCAACGAAGAATCGGTTCGGGCCGATTACAGAGGAAGCCTGGGGCTAATGCAGGTTTTCAAATCAAGAGAAGTGGTGTGTGTCATGTACAAAGTGAGAGTAGTGTATTTCAAACGCAGTTTCCGCCCCCGGCCCCGCCACCATGAGCCCCTGATACAAATCCTCCCCCATCAGAGGGGCAGAAAAGACAAAAAGCACTTCTTGAAATGCAGGGCCAGCCACTCAGCTGAGAGAAATCAGCAGCGATCTGCGTGTGCATCTCAGTATCAACGTGCTCTAGATCTATCCCAATTAGCACAGATCTACCGATTACAGCTAGCCAACAGATCGCTCTCTCTGCGATCAGTCACTTGCTGCACCAGCCCTCTCTGCAATCAATAGCTTCGTGCCAATCTGCCACCGACAGCACTATTCGGTTCAGCAGAGCGCTGCTGGGTCACGCCAGCCGAGGGCTAGGACCCCAGACCAGGGGGTCTCAAACGGAGTCATGGCCCCGCAGGGGCTCATGAGGTTATTACATGGGGGATTGCGAGCTGTGAGCCTCCACCCCAAGGCCCGCTTCGCCTCCACCATTTACAATGGTGTTAAATATACAAAAAAGTATTTTGAATTTATAAAGGGGGGGGGTTGCACTCAGAGGTGAAAGGAGTCACCAATACAAAAGTTTGAGAACCACTGCGCTAGATGCTATGGATATTTTGCCGGGCCGCCATTCTCACGAAGAAGCTGCCCCTCTCCCTTGCCAACACCCAGGGTAATATTTCGGAAGAATAAAGCAAAAAACAAAACAAAACCAACCTACCACCATCACACCCTGCCAAAGCACCGCTGCCTTCAAAACTCAAAGGCACCTGCTCGCAATTGAAAGCCGAGCTGTATCTGCAATCCCCACCCGCCCCCAGGTGGTTGAAACGGTGACTACAATTAGACAGATGAGTCGTGCTGATGCCAAGTTGAGGCGGAGGGGTCGTGCGTGGCCTGGTGCGTCCCAGCGAGGCCATTTACATTCCTGCGTGAGCCGGAGCGCTGCCTGGGGCCGGAGCTTCTGGGGGATTGTGCAAGTTGGTTTCCTTATACACGAACCAAGCATTGCCTGCCCACAGAATGAGGTTCAGGAAGCCGAAAACCTAAGGGGTCCAAAGGAGGAGGGGGTTAGCTGCAGTATCTAGCTTCCAGGGTAGGCTTCCGGTTTGGCTGGGAGACACCCTCTCCAGCTCTACATGGACCATTTGTGCCCGGCTGCAGAGCCCCAGGCCGGAGAACCTTCTCCAGGAATTCCTGCCTGCAGCCCAGATCTGATGGTCGAGCTAGAGCGCCTTAACTCCACCCTCTTGCATTCGTGCCCTTTACTCGGCCCCCTTTGTAGATTTCAAACCCAGATCTGATGGTCGAGCTATGGGTCAATTCCTCTGCATGACTAAAATTCACTTCTTTCCAGTCTGGATCTGTCTGGCTTCATTCCCCAGCTGTCGGCTCTCACTCTGCCTTGGTTGGCTGGATTAAAGAGCCCTCTGCTCCCCAAAAGCTCCTCCTCACGGAGGTGCTGACAGACCGGGATTAAATCCCCTCTGAACATTCTCAGGGTGAAACTAATTTAACAAGTGTTTATTAGAGCATTTATTAGGTGTACTATGGTAGCAATGGGACCCTCAGGCATGGATAAAACCCCTTGCGCCAGGTGTTGTACAAACAAAACAAGTCTCTGCCCCAGACGCTGCCAGTCTAGGGGCTTGGTTTCATAGGGACACTCAGGAAAATTAATCTGAATTAACTGCGGGCTTGTCCACACACAGAGTTACTCCAGAATAGCAGTTCCTGAAGAGATTTTTTTTTCAGTTCACCGGTGATTCAAAAAGGAGAAAAAACTAACAACATTTTTCAAAATTGCTGGCGAAACGAAAAGACGAACATAAGGGTGTTGGTCAAACCCACTTTGCTTGACCCTTTAGAAACTTTTTTTATTGGGGGTTCTTTAAATAAAACAAACGGATGTTTGGAAACCGAATCTGCCTTTTCTGCCAAAAGAAGTTTCATCTGGAAAATTTCACCCGTTGCTACTCCTGAATAGTTTCCCCAGTGAATAAAGCCAAATCAGGACAAGCCATTCATACTCCAGAATAACAGCATCCACACATGGAGTTAAATCAGGAATAATTAGGGCTTTAAATTCAGTCAGCCTTAATCCAAATTAAATTTCAAGTGTAGACAAGTCCTCACTGGAGTGAATTTAAAGTGGATTAGTTAAACCACATCGTGGCTGCTCTCATTCTGAATTAAAGTGGCCTTAATTGAGTTGAGTTTAAGCTACACTGAATGAAGGTGACTTTAATTAAGAATGAGAATATCCATATTTTAACTAGTTCCAAGTTTCCATCAAATCCACAATCTGGTCTTAGACCCACTCTCCTAGATTCATAGATTCTAAGGCCAGAACAAATCCCTGCGATCAGCTAGTCTGGCCTCTAACAGAGGCCAGAGAACTTCCCTGAATTAATTTCCGCTTGAACGAGAGCAGATCAGTTAGGAAACCATCCAGCCTTCATTTTAAAAGTGCCAGTGAGGGAGAATCCACCACACTCCCTGGTAAATTGGTCCAAGGGTGAATTACTGTGACTGTTAAAAATGTACACCTTATTTCCAGTCTGTGTCTAGCTTCAACTTCCAGCCATTGGCCCTAGTTAGACCTTCCTCTGGTAGACTGAAGAGCCCACGATCAAGTATTTGTTCCCATGTAGGGACTTACAGACGGGGATCAAGTCACCACTGAAACCTTCTCTTTCTTAGAAGAAATAGATTAAGCTCCGTGAGTCTATCACTATAAGGGAGGTTTTCCAATCCTTTAATCATTCTTTTGGCTCTTCCCTGACCCCTCTGCAATTGATCAAGATCCTTCTTAACTGATGGACACCAGATCCAGACACAGGATTCCAGAAACTGTCGCACCAGTGCCAAACCCAGAGGTACAATAACCTCTCTCCTCCAGCTCTGAACCCTCTCCAACCAACGAACGCCCTACGGGAATCAATCCATTTCAAACTAGAGCTGTCAATTAAACTGCACTTAACTTCAGCCATTACCTCAAAGCAAATTTACTCAATTAAAAAAATTAATTGTGATTAATCGTCGTTTTAATCGCACTGTAAACAGTAAGAACAACAATTGAAATTTATTATGAATATTTTTGGATGTTTTTCTACATTTTCAAATACACTGATTTCAATTACAACACAGAATACAAAGTGTACGCTGCTCACTTTATATTATTGTTTACAAATATTTGCACTGTACAAAAAATAAAAATAGTATTTTTCAATTCACCTCATACAAGTACTGTAGTGTTATCTCTTTACAGTAAAAGTGCAACTTACAAATGTAGATTTTTTTTGCTTCATAACTGCACTCAAAAACAAAACTAAGTAAAACTTTAGAGCCTACATGTCCACTCAGTCCTACTTCTTGTTCAGCTAATTGCTAAGACAAACAAGTTTGTTTATGTTTATGGGAGATAATGCTGCCCACTTCTAATTTACAATGTCATCTGAAAGCGAGAAGAGGTGATCGCGTGGCACTTTTGTAGCCGGCGTTGCAAGGTATTTATGTGCCAGATATGCTAAACACTCATATGCCCCTTCATGCTTCCGCCACCATTCCAGAGGACATGCTTCCATGCTGATGATGCTTGTTAAAAAAAAAATGCGTTAATTAAATTTGTGATTGAACTCCTTGGGGGAAAATTGTATGTCTCCTGTTCTGTGGTTTAAACTGCTTTCTGCCATATATTTCATACTATAGCAGTCTCAGATGACGACCCAGCATATGTTGTTCGATTTAAAAACACTTTTATTGCAGATCTGAGAAAACACAAAGAAGGTACCAATGTGGGATTTCTAAAGATAGCTACAGCACTCGACCCAAGGTTTAAGAATCTGAAGTGCCTTCCACAATCTGAGAGGGAGGAGGTGCAGAACATGCTAACAGAAGTCTTAAAAGAGCAACGCACTGATGTGGAAACTACAGAACCTGAATCACCAAAAAAGAAAATCAACCTTCTGCTGGTGGCATTTGACTCAGACAATGAAAATGAACATGCATCGGTCCGCACGGCTTTGGATCATTATCGAGCAGAACCCGTCATCAGGATGGACGCATGTCCGCTGGAACAATGGTCGAAGCATGAAGGGGCATATGAACCTTTAGCGCATCTGGCACGTAAATATCTTGCAACGCCAGCTACAACAGTGCCATGCGATCGCCTGTTTTCACTTTCAGGTGACACTGTAAATAAGAAGCAGGCAGCATTATCTCCCGTAAATTTAAACAAACTTGTCTGTCTTTGCTATTGTCTGAACAAGACATAGGACTGAGTGGACTTGTAGGCACTAAAGGTTGACACTGTTTTATTTTTGAGTGCAGTTATATGAAAAATAAAAATCTATGTTTGTAAGTTGCATTTTCACGATAAAAAGATTGTATGAGGTGAACTGAAAAATACAATTTCTTTTGTTTATCTTTTTTACAGTGCAAATATTTGTAATAAAAAATACAGTGAGCACTGTACACTTTGTATTCTTGTTGTAACTGAAATCAATATATTTGAAAACGTAGAAAACATCCAAAACTATTTAAATAAATGGTATTTTATTATTTTAACAATGCGATTAAAACTGCAATTAATTTTTTAAATTTTTTGAAGGCCCTAATTTAAACTCTTAATTCAGATTCACCTCCCTGCGTGTCCCCATGTAGACAAGATCTCTGAACATGGGATTGGAGCCAAGCACACGCCGAGTTTCGAGGGAGGCCTGCCCCGCGTCTCAGTGGCACAGGGGAGGGGAGGGTGCTGGCCATACGTACCACGGACACGTTGAGGGAGCCCATGCTGCTCACTTCACCGAACAGGCAGGAATTTTGGGGCAAAAGGCAGAAGGCTATTTCCGACAACATCCCAGGCCCGGTGGATACTTTGATGTCAGTCAGAGCTTTGGCCCAAGCCGAAGTGCTGATCAGCCAGAGAAGCGCGACCAACATGGTGATCACAAAGTCCTGCACGAGGGGGAGATGGGGGGGGGTGGGCGGGTTACTAGCCCAAGACCACCAGGAGAGAAATACACAATGGAGGGGACGGATTCCCAGACACGTACAATGGACACGCTGAGGCCAACCGTCCAGTGGAGCTACAGCCCATTGACCCCAGCTGGGATCTGGCCGCATTGACCCCAATGGAGCTACGGCCCACTGACCCCAGCTGTGGGTCTAGCCACACTGGCTTTAACGACTGGAGCGTTTTTACACCAGGTGACGCCCTCACACAGCCCCACTGAACTCACATAAGTGGTTGGGGCCGCTCAGCTGAGATGTGGGCACTGGGCAGCCCGGTTGGGGCGGGGGGGCTGCACGTCGCCCTGCCCGATGAGGGCCCCCAGTCTCCATCGGGTGTGTGTCGGGGGGAACCTGTGGAACGTCTGGCGCATGCCTCCCAAGTGCTTTCAAGAGACACTCTGGATTGCAGGTGCCCAACTGGAGATGCCATCCACAGAGTCTGGTTTGGACGGGCGCCTGGCATTTTCTGAAATCCCGTCTCCTTTTACCACGTCATGAGTCGGGCACCCAATACAATCCAGCCAGCTCTTTGGACAGCACAGGGTGGACTCCACGGCATTCCCACAAACAGCCCAGCAGAGACGCCGGACCCTCCTCTGTTACACGGGAGGTGGACCCCTGAGCTACAGGGATGCACCCCGGGTCTGGACTCTGGCTTTAGACTTGGATTTCCAAAGGATCGCACAAGGCGCTGAATTCCCACAGCAATCAAGCCACTAAACAACACTCCAGGCCTGGCCAAAAATGCCACTCACTGCGAACGCTTCATCCACTCACAGAAGTTAAGGGATTAATTTCATCACTTCTCTTCGCAGCAGTACTATTCTTCAGGTGTTTGTGACAGGGCGGCTGCCCCTCACTGGCTGTCAAAGGGTTAATAGCAGCCCTTGGAGCGGCTGCGCAGAACCCAGCCAATCAGAGGAAGGCTTAGAAGCAGCCAATCAGGGCCAGGCTGGGTCCTATAAGAAGGGCTGCAGGGCAGAAGGGAGTCAGTCTCTCCCTGGAGCTTGAGGGAGAAGGACTGGCTGCCTATAGAGAGAAGTACCTGGGACAGAGCAGTGCTGGGCAGGGTCAGGGGAACAAGCAAAGCTCCAGTCTGGCTGGCTCCCAGACTGTAGCCTTGACACAGGGGCCGAGTAGGTGCTGGGGCTACGGGGAGGTGGCCCAGGGAAAGCAGGTAGCGACAGAGGGGAAGGAGAGGCAGTGAGAAGCTGCCAGCTATAGGGTCCCTGGGTCGGGGCCCAGAGTAGAAGGCAGGCCTGGCCCCCCCACACGCACATTTTGCCCCACTGACCACCAAGGGAAGTGGCCAGCCGAAGGACTGCAGTTTGCCCCGAGCGAGGGGCTGGACGAGGGGCTGCAGTTGGCCACTGCGGGGAGAGGCTGGGCGAAGGACTGCCAGTTCCCCCGGAAGGGGGGAGACAACAGAGTTGGGGCACAGCCGGAGGGAGATACACAGCAAGAGAGAGTCTCTGCCCCAAAGAACTTACACATAAGCAGACAACGGAATGATCACTATCCCCACGTTACAGATGGGGAAACTGAGGCATGGACTCACCCAAGCCCTGCCCAAAGCTGAGTCTTGAACCCAGGTCTCCTGCCTTCCAGCTGGATCTCTCTAACTGCTAGCTCACCCCTCCTCACTAAGGGAAGCTATTCCTGGCAAACCCTGATTTCACTGCAACTTTAGCTGCATTAGAGAAAGCTGGGGGGGGCAGTGCCCCATAAATCTTGCCGCCCTCACTGGCCCCATTCTGGGAACACATCCCCAGAGCTCTGATGCAATTTGGATTTTCCCTCCGCCCTCTTCCCCCCACAACTCCCTCACCCCAAACTTGGAAGCTGGGGTTTGCCAATTACTCCTGAATAATGTATCCAACAAGCAGGTTAGCGCCACTGTGGGACCGGCAGGAGACACCCGGGCACTTACCGCATTTCCCAGCCCTCCGGGGAGCCGGCGCAGCAGGGAGAGAAGAGAAAAGGGGCAACTGTTTATCAAGTTACAATAATCCTCTCCCGTTCGCGACCCCTCTGCCTTCCAGAGCTGGGGGCTTTGGTTCGCATGCCAGCACAGCGCCAGGGCATTGCGCCAAAGATCAGGTCTCATGGCCTCTGAATTAGAGCCAGGATCCAGCCAGCGGGTGAGCCGGGGATTACGCAGATCACCGTAAGAACAGCTGGGGGGAGCCTTCACTGGTGTGAATCAGCACAGATCCACTGGACTAAATGGAGCGACAGCCGATTGACCCCAGCTGGGATCTGGCCCCATTGACAGAAGCTTGGTGTTTTGGGAAAACAAAAATTGCTGAAAAATGTCATCAGAAAACAAAACCCGTAGAGCAGAACGTTTTAAAAGGCCAGGGCAAAAGGGAACAACCACAGGCAAATTTTGCTCCAACGAAGCAAAACACATTCCTGCATTGTAACTCGACCTCAGAAAGCCGAGATGTGTATTGCACAAAACCCTTTTCATAGCAACTAGCCCATTTTGTTTCCTCTTTTTAAGGGGAAAATGCTTTTAAAAGGGGAAACGGGAGGTTTTCCCCACTAAAAAAAAAAAAAATACAAAAGATTTAGCTGAACAGCAAGAAAATTTTGATCAAAGATTTTCCCATGAAAATTTCCACACTGGCCAAAAAAAAAAGTTTGTTAATCTTTTTGTGGTCCCAAAAAACCTGGCCATGCCAAGAGTCTGAGCAGGACTCGGTCTGTGGAGTGCTTGGAGATCTAGGTTAGGAGATCTACACTCCTGGCTTAAGAGTAGAGCTCACTGAAAATTCTGCGTCACAGCTGCTTTTTGACAGAAAATTGTTTGTTTCAACATCAAAGAAAATTACTTGTGACACACGTCTGCTTCCCACGGAGAATTTCAACTTTTCTGTGAAAATTGTTTGTCCGAAAACCGAACTGTTTCGATTCAAAATGATAGAGTGGTGCATCATGGCAGCTGTAGTTCTGAATACCTTGTGCTCCAACTCTTCTCTATGGGCTGGGCTTTCTGGTTGGACCACATTTCCCATGATGCACCACTTCCTCGCCTCTTGCTGACCCACTGTGTTGCATGATGGGAGTTGTAGTTCAGATGCCTCATGTTCCTCTTCTCCTCTCTTGCCTGGACTACATCTCCTATGATGCACCACTCTTCCCCCTTTGGGTGGGTTGTGACCTAGGAATCTCTGGACATGGTGCAACATGGGAGTTGTAGGTTAGCCAGAGAGCCTGGACCACAGAGAAGAATGAGAGCACGGGGCACCCAGGACTACAACTCTCATGAGGCATCGCAGCCACGGACACCCATGACACAACCCCCCTCCTGACCACAGGAGGAAGTGGTGCATCCTGGCCTATAGAGAACTTAGCATGAAGCGCCCAGGACTACAACCCCCATAATGCACCACAGCGACTCTGCAAGAGCGGTGGAAGTGGTGCATCTTGGGAGATGTTGTCCAGCCAAAGAGCCCAGCCAATAGGGGAGAATGGAACCCCGAGGCACTCAGGACTACAGCTCCCATGAGGCCCCACAATGTCATTCTGAATTCAAATATTCCAGGTTTTGGTCAAAATATTTCAGTGAAATGTCAAAATTTTCCCACCATGAAAATGAATAAAGATTTTAATTTTTGTCTCAATTCTCCAAGGGAAATTCCCCCTCTGCCCCCAATTTTCCTCCCAGCCCCCATTAAGAGCAAAGCATTACACGTCACTTACGATCATGGGCAGCTTGCCAGCGCCACGGTAAAGGTGCAGATACCCCACGTACAGCACCAGCGCCGCCATGCAGTAGAGGAAGACAAAGACAGCGAAGGTGACAAAGAACTGGGCCGAGGAGGAGAAGTCGCCCACGAGGTGGGTCTGGATCCATGTGTTGTTACATAGTTTGGAATCCAGGTCTTTGAACAACACATTGTTCAGCCTGCCAGGGGAGACAGAGAAGCTTGAAGCGTTTCACTTTGACGCCAGCGAGACGAAGTGCTGGACCTCTGGGGCGAAAGATCCATATCTACCCACCCGCTCTGCCCTCCTGCATAGCCCAGGCCGGAGAAACTCCTCCAGGGATCCCTGCCTCTAGTCCAGATCTGGGAGTTGAGTGCCCTTAACTCCACCCCCTTGCATACATCCCCTTAATTCTGCCCTTTCATAGATTTCAAGTCCGTATCTGATAGTGGAGCTAGAGGGGAGCTTTTAAAGAAATGTCAGATCTTGATGGAAAGACTCCAAGGGATTTAGAAACTGCCCCATCCCTGGGGCAGTCGTTCCAAAGGTCAATTCTCTTTGTTAAGAATTTGCCTCATTATTTCCAGTCTGGCTTCATCCCCCAGCTGTCGGCTCTCAATCTGCCTTTGTTGGCTAGATTAAAGAGCCCTCTGCTCCCCCAAGTCTCCTCCCCAGGGAGGTACTGACAGACCAGGTACAAGTCCCCTCTGAATCTTCTCAGGGAGAAACTCACTAGATCAAGCTCCTTTAATGCAGAGGTGGGCAAACGATGGCCCGTGGGACCGTCCTGCCCGGCCCCTGAGCTCCTAGCCAGGGAGGCTCACCCCCAGCCCCTCCCCTGCTGTCCCCCCTTCCCCGCAGCTACGCGGGCAGCACTCTGGGCAGCAGGGCTGCACCCTCCTGCAGGGCAGCGCAGCTGCGTGTCTGGCTCCGGCCGGGTGGCGCGGCTCCAGACATGCTGCTCTGAGTGGCATGGTAAGGGGGCTGGGGGGTTGGATATAGGGCAGGGGGTCCCGGGGGGCAGTCAGGGGACAGGGGGCGGTTGGATAGGGTGGAGGTTCAGGGGGGGCAGGGGACAGGGAACAGGTGGGGGGGTTGGATAGAGGGTGGGGTCCCGGAGGGCCTGTCAGGGGGTGTGGGTGTGGATATGGGGTCAGGGCAGTCAGGGGACAGGGAGCGGGGTGGGTTGGATAGGGGGTTGGGTCCGGGGGGGGGGGGGGGTCAGGGGCGGCGGTCCCAGGAGGGGGCGGTCAGGGGACAGGAGCAGGGGGGGTTGGATGGGTCAGGGGTTCTGAGGGGGGAAGTGGGAGGGGTCAGATAGGGGGCAGGGGCCAGGCTGTTTTGGGGACACAGCCTTCGCTACCTGGCCTTCCATACAGTTTTGCACCCCGTTGTGGCCCTCAGGCCAAAAAGTTTGCCCCCCCCGCTTTAATGTCTTGCTCTCAGGCAAGTTTTCCAGCCCTCAGCTTGTTCCTGTCCCTTTTCTCTGACCCCTCCCTCATTTCCTGTTTGACAGGCGGCCCCCAGTACTGGGCACAGTCTCAAGTCATTGTCTCCCCAATGCCGTACTGAGACTTCACCCCCCACCAACTGACACAACCCTTTAGATCCAACCGGACACTACACATCTCATGATCGTTGGGGCTTTTCCTTTCCTTCCATCTCAAGCTCCCGGAGTCACAGCATTCCTGGGAGAATCTCTATTAAAATGACTTTTCTCATCTTCAGACTTGGGGCCAGGGGGATGGGAAATGAGGCCCCTAGAAGCTAAAAAAAAAAAAACCCTGACGCTAGTTGCTTGTTTAAAAACAACTCGTGAAGTTTAAGCCAGTCCCAGGGTGTTTCGTTCCTAGGGGCTGGGAGAACACATAGGAGAGAAGGAGGAAACAAGGTCACGTGGGAATGATTCACTGATTCGAAGGCCAGACCGGCCCACTGTGATCATCCAGCCTGCCCTCCTGTGTCACACTCACCAGGGAACGTCCCTGAATTAATTCCTGTGAACACCATCCTCCTGGAACTGCGGGCCCCAGGACCGGACGTGGGATTCCAGCAGCGGTTGCAGGTAAAAACAACCTCTCTGCTCCGCGTCTCGGGATTGCGTTAGCCCCGCTGGCCACCGCATCCCGTCACGAGCACAGAGTCAACATGACTGTCCGCCCGGGGCTACACTCACCGGAACGGATAGCCAAAAGCCGCCTCAAGGGTCTCATTTTTAACGTCCCAACAGCTGACTTTAATGGAGGTATGGCCACTGTACCCTCCACAGGTGGCAAAAGCAAAGATAGAAAAAATCTAGAGATACGGAGAGACACAGCATTAGAGTCATAGATTTCAAGGCCAGAATCCGTGCCCATCCAACCTGCCCTCCTGCAGAGCCCAGGCCGGAGAACCGCCCCCAGGGATTCCGGCGTCCGGCCCCTATCTGGTGGTTGAGCTGGCTCCCATCTTTTTGATGCACCAACTCCTTTTCAAGCTCAGCAGACGCACTCCAGCCAGCGTCAGAAGGATCCGGTTAAGGAAAGCCAGCAGTGCACACGGTTCATATCAGCTGATCCCACTCTCTCCGCTGGCATTCGCCCACCAGAACAGCAGCTGGGTTGGCACGCGCCACTCACTCTCGCCACAATTCTGATCGTCACAAGGTCAATTTTCTGCGGCCACCTGGCTCATTAAAAACGGTTCTAATGAAAATTGAAAGCAGAAGAGGCCAGGTCATGAGCTAGGGTAAACTGACTCCAGCGGGGAGCTGGCCCCATTGAGTCTCTGGGCCAAGGACCACACCACTTTCTGTTGGCACAACTAATTGGAGACGGAACACCTCTCTCAGCAGCCCTCCCAGCTTCTGCAAACCTTGCCAGAGTCTGGGAATAATCCCTCACCTTCATGTGTTCTCCATGCACAGATCTCAAAGGGCTGTGGCAAGGAACGCGCGCAACGTTATCACGAATGGGGAAACTGAGGCACAGAATGTCACCGTGACTTGCAGGTGACTCAACAGACCACAGCTGGGACAGCACGCTTCCTCTTTAACAGCTGCTAATGTCCTGAGCTATTGCTCATTCCCTGTGCCCATTCACAAGCTAAACATAAACAAGCGTATGAAGTTACACACAGCTCGAGTTCCATTTCGGTCTCTCGTTTCCCAAGGGACTTAACGCTGATTGGAATATTTTCATCAAAATATTTTTCCTCCCCATGAAAAATGACATTTCTACTATGAAAGAAATTTTAATGATTCACAGATTCCAAAAGCACAGAAGGGCCCATTGTGATCATCTTGTCTGACCTGTGTAACACAGGTCAGAGAGCTGCTTCATGATCATTCCTAGAACAGAGCTATTAGAAAAGACTCCAATCTTGATTTTGAAATGGTCAGCGCTGGGCACTCCACCACGACCCCTGGCGACGCGTTCCAATAAGTAATTGCTCTCACTGCTATGGAAAATGGAACGTTACTTTGACTGCTGATCAGAAAATCACTGGTAACCTCCCCCCTAAAAATGTGTCACAGAAATGGTCAGTTGTAGGCTACAAAAAAAAAAATTTCCAGTAAAAACATTAGGGTTTGGTTTAAAAGTTGAGTTCAAATTTTCTAAAATCAAAACTCCGAATTGAGATCCATTCTCTGTAAACATCGTTAGTTAAAAAATCCCACAGTTTACGTTAAAATTTGCAGTTTGGGGCGAAGGCTTCAGTTTGCACTAAAAATTCTCTGGGTTTGTTTTTAAAAATTGAGTTTTACTTTTCAAAACCACGTTTTTGGCCAAAAACCGCTATCAGGAAACCGTTTTCCCCTCAAACTGTTTTTGCTTTAGCTGAAAATTTGCACTCTGAGGTTCAACTTTCCATTATTCCAGTTAACAAAAGGTTTGTGGATTGGGGAAAATCAGATTTGTTTGTTAGTTAATTCCAGTTTGAGTTGAATTGGAGTCGGAGTCCTCGAAAAACCGATCTCAGGAACATTGTCAATAACACCATTTTTCGAAAACTAAAACCCTCCGTGTTTATTTAGTTGGATTTTTAACAAAATTTGGACATTTTACCACAAGCCATGCTCCACAACAGAACCATGTGGGGCTGAAAAAACAGCCACATTCTCCCGTGAAATTTTGAAGATTAAAGAAAACCTAGGAAAAATTTGCAAGCTTTCAACAAGAAAACCTTTTTTGACCTTTCCACCCCCGCCCTGTACCGCTGGCAGACACCCCGTAGTGGCAGAGTAACACAATATAATTGAACAAATCGTGAGCAGGGACAAAAAGCCAGGGGATCTGGCTCCAAGCCTTGAAGGTCATGGCCAGGTTTAGCCATGAGACAAGTGGCAGATTCCAAATCCGGGATGCGTGAGCACAGGGGAGTTTCGGACATTGTCCCGCTCAGTGTGATTCCTCCTTAAGAAACCTTGCAAAGCTGGAGCTGCTGGCAACATGTGTCAATGGTGCCCAAGGGGGTGGGGGGGGGGCTAAGCCAGCCAGGACCCCACTGACGCCGGGCCTGGCTGGGAGCCAGGGAAGCCGAGTGCAGCGAGTACAGAAAGACATGCCTGTTCTGTGGAATTCACTGCAAGGCTCAGCAATCGGAGGCCCGGCTGGAGGCTTTAAGCGAGAGTTATTACTTCAACACCAGCAGCTAGGTTGTCCCCCATTGTACTCAGTGCCACAGAGATCCTCACTAGGATGGGGGGGGAGCCCTTCCTGCTGGGGGCCACACAGACACACACCCCCTCGACTGAGATCAGGGATAATGTCACGCTGGGTGCCACACAGATTTCCTGCCCTCCAACCGAGATCGGGGACCCCATCATGCCAGACGCTGCACAGACCGTCCCCGACTGAGATCAGGCACCCCGTCATACCAGGTGCCACACATATTCCCCGCCCCCACCCCAACCAAGATCAGGGCCCCTGTCGTGTCAGGCGCTGCACAGCCCCCCGCCCATGACCGAGATCAGGGACCTCTTTGCACCCTCCGTTAGGAGGGATGGTCCAGTCTGGAAGGGAGAGAAGATGCCCTAGCACGGCAGGTGGGCATCACAGGGGACTCAGAATGAGGTAAAGCACAAAGCTAGTGGATTCTCATCATGGTAGTGCTGGGGAGAGAGCCCAGCCAACCCACAATCTTTCCCCCCGACTCCTCTCAGAGAGACCAGCCCCGCCCCGAGCACCGTCGAGGAAGCAGCCACAAGAAGCCGGCTGCCTGAATTGGCGCCACAAACCCAGATCATGTCCCCATCGGGCCACTGGTCCTGCCTCACGCGGCAAAGAGCGGAAAGGCAATGCCGTGCCCACCCCGGCCGCAGGCTAACGGAGACGCGCTCACGGCCAATGCCCTGCTCCAAGGATTGGGATGAGACGGCCAAATTTGCAAAAATCTTCCATTGGGAAAAAGAAGGGGATGAAAACAGTCAAAACAGCAGATTTTCCAATGAATAAAAATTGGGACAAAAACCCATCTAAGCTGCGGGACAAAAAGTTGGGACAAAACAGTAAAATTTGCAGATTTTCCGATGAATACAAATTGGGATGAAAACAGTAAAACCTGGGGGGGGAGGAGGATTTTTTGAGGATTGCAAACAGCCTGCATGCAAAAAAATGCCCTTTTCCGGACACCCACACCCCGAATTTTCCTTGGGGGGAGGGAGTTTTTTGACCAGATACCGCCATGGGAAAAAATTGAATGTCTTTTCCTTCTGGATCACATTAGAGGCTATAAATACCCTGGTTGCAGTTTACATCCAGCAGAGTGGATCAGAGATGGAGCGGGGGGGGGGTGTGTGAAGATGGCGTAGACTTCCTGTGGGCACGATTCTGAACTGTGCCCAGAGATGCCAGCATGCTGTGCCCTCAGCAGCTAGCGCCAATTAGCCAGGTGAGGTATCAATCTAGGTACTGATCTGGCTTTTGTTTAATTGTCAAAATCCCCCTAGGGGAGGGACGGGGTCTCCCCTCCCTGTGTTTGTACGGTGCCTAGCACCACAATCACAGTACAGCTCATAATCCTACTTCACAGCTGGGGAAACTGAGGCACGGGACAGGTGAAACTATTTGCCCCAGGTCGGGGGGGGCCAAGCCAGGATTTGACCCATGGTCTGTGCTCATCCCACTGCGCCGCTCTGCCAGGAGTGGCTGGGCCCAGGCAGAGGGAGCGGCCATGTGCCCAGTGATGGGAACGCAGGTAGGGGGGGTGCCGAAGCGGAAAGGGCACGGTGGTTTCTGGGCGTTGCTGGCTCCTGTTTCCAGCCGACTGGGCAGAGCCAGAGGTGCCGAGGCCACCGTGCGGGCTGAAGCTAGCTCCATGGGGCGTTGCCTTCCGCCAGCCCAGCTGCTGCTTTCCATATAGCAGCTTCACTCAGCTGGGTGGCACCGCGGCCCTGCCCTTCCTTGAACGGTGCCTCCAGGCACTAGGCAGGCATCGGGGTCCCCGTCCTGCCAGGGACTGCACAGACCCCCCCACACACACCAAGATTGGGGTCCCCATCACACCGTGCACTGCACAGACCCCCAGACTGAGATCAGGGCCCCTGTCAGGCCGGGCGATGCACAGATGGGGGACAGGGGGGCTGCTTATCTTTTTCTATCAGCAAAATGACAACTCTGCCGTCTCCGGCGACGTTCTCGCAAACCTCCCGCTCCTGGGGGACTTTTCGTAAGTCTCCAGGCTCCCGGAGTCACGACACAATCCCAGCTTTCGCCTTGAAACTCAGGCTTCCAGCCTTGGGTTTGGGGAGATAATCTGGAGAACGTGGCCGCTCCAGGTCAGAAACAGGTGGCAAAGATTTAGCCTCCCCAACTACAAAACACAAGCTTTTTTGTTTGTTTTTAAATCTCGTGATTTTTTACCCCAACCTTGGAATTTGGGGAGGGCTAAATTTGGTTTGGACACGGCCGGCGCTGCTCAGCGAGCCCTGGCTTTTTTCCCCTTCCCCAGGTCCTTTTAAAGGACGCCGCAAAGGGGTGACAGGCGCATGCCTTAGAGTCAACTTTTCAACACCATACAGAGGGGAAACGTTTTCCCAACACTGCAGAAGAAAGAAAGTGAAACTAATGCCAACTTTCCCTCTGGTGGCACGAGGGCGGAAAAGAATCCCGGAGAAATAGTGATGAAAACTACAGCAGAGGCTACAGTATAATCATCTAAAAGTCCTAGAGCTGGCAGACTTGGGAGTATAGATAAAACACCCAGAGGTGGCTGGCATCAGATAATTCGAGACTGGGGCTATAAAACTGCACTGTAGACATGCAGGCTCAGGCTAGAGACGGGCTCTGGGGGGACAAGTGTCTTTTTGTTCCAGGTCTGTACAGCACCTAGCGCAACGGGGATTTGATTTCAGCCTAGGGAACCTACCAGCTTGGTCTGGGTCCTGCTAACTTCTGTCTGGGTCCAAATCTAGCAGGTCGGGCCCAGGGCGCAATGTTGGAATTAGCTGATCATGGCAGCCCTGAGGCTGGCATGATCACAGCTAGCCTCCCATCGTCTGCCGTTCTCGCTCAGTCCCCAGCGCCGGGAGCCATCACGGGTCGCCAGAAGAACCCAGGCTTGAGAGGACGGGTTTCAATTCTTGCCCTCGCGGGATGGGGAAGAACAACTGGGGACTGGGGGCCCAGGAAAGGGCTCAGAGGCCAACAGGCAAATCAACCGGATTTGGTCACAATCGCGCAACCTCCCAAGGCGTTTTGGGGTTGTGTTTTGGGGTTTTTTTTAAACACTCAGGATTAGGCAAACTGAGGAGGAAAGATTGAATAACGGCCCTCTCCACACACTCTCAAAGCTGGGAATAGAACCTAGGAGTCCTGGCTCCCAGCCACCCCTGCTCCAACCATTAGACCCCACTCCTCTCCCAGAGGCAATGACAGACCCCTGGAGTCCTGGCTCCCAGCCCATTTCTGGGCGTCGAGCTAGAGCTCCTTATCCAGGCTGCCAGGCAAATGACAGCAGCGGTGGAAGGGCCCAGCTGCTACCTGCCACCAGCCCTGGCGCTGCCCTCCCCACCAAGCCCCCCCCATCCCTTCGGAGAGCTCTGTTTCATTAACATCCAATATTACCAAACCACTGGAAACCCACAAACAGATGCAACTTCCCCTACAGCGTCAGGGCCTCCTCTCTGTGGTCCCCTCCCACTGGTGAAAGTGCACCCGGATAGGGTGGCATGGCCCAGTAGACAAGGAGCTGGAGTGGGAGGCAGGATGCCTGGGTTCTCTGCCCAGCTCAGGGAAGAAAGTCCATCCCCCTCACATCAGGTCTGTGCATGGCTAGCACTTGTGTAAATGCCACATCAGTCCCAGTTGAACTACCTGGGGGTGCTCAGAGAGATCACCTACAGGTCAAAATATGGGCTAGTGGGTGGGGGTGGGCAGGGCTGGGAGCCTGGGCTCTTAAGTTCTTTCCCCAACTCTGGGAGGAGAGTGGGGTCTAATAATTAGAGCGGGAGAGGGGGGCTGGGAGAGAACTCCTGGGTTCTATCCCTGCCTCTGCCACTCCCTTTTTCCTCACGGTGCCTCAGTTCCCTCTCCCTGTTATTTGTCTATTCACACTGGAAACTCTTTGGGGCAGGGACCATCTCTCGCTGTGTGTCTGGGCAGCGCCTGGCACGACGGGGCCCCAATCTCAGCTGGGGCAGGGCCTGTCTCTGGCTGTGTCTGGGGAGCGCCTGGCACGACGGGGCCCTGATCTCAGCTGGGGCAGGGCCTGCCTCTTGCTGTGTCTGGGCAGTGCCTGTCACACGGGGCCCTGATCTCAGCTGGGGCAGGGCCTGCCTCTCGCTGTGTGTCTGTGCGGCACCCGGATCTCATCTCATAGCAACACGCCCTGGGCTACGCAGGGGTTTATACCCCAAATCCAGGATGCACCAGAAATCCGCTCATTGCAAGAGGCTCATGTCACTGGCCACATGAGGAAACGCCCGCACGAGCTATTAGCCCTGGGGCCCGATTCCCACTGGTGTCAACGGGCCGGAGCCCCCTTGGAGTGAGAGGGCACCGGGGTACTGGGCAGGGGGCTGGGACCAGTCCAGATCAGCAGCATTTTCCCCCCCCACTTCTCCCCACCCCCTCCCTCACTGGATCCCCCACCCCAGCCTCCTGCCTTCCCCATTTCCTTCTCCCATCCTGCTTTGTACCCCACCCCTGTACCCCGACTGCTCCACCCAGCCCCCCCACACACCTGGCCCTCTGCCCCCCAGCTCCAACCCCCTTGCGAGGCCCCCACACCTCCAGCCCTTCCCCTAACCACTGTCCCCCCCAGCCCTCCCCACGCACCCTGCCCCTCCCAGCACCCAGCCCACTGCCCCCCACACTCACCCACTGCAGGACCTTGATGAACCCCAGTGGCTCCTTCACGGGGCCCAGGTTGAGCTGGAGGCCGGACATTTTCTGGGGAGAGGCCAGAGGAGGCGTCAGGAAAGAAGAGGCGGGGGCGGGGGCAGGGCGGAAGTTTGCAATGGGAGGGGCTGCAGTGGGAGGGGAGTTTGCAGTGGGGGGGGCAGGCGGGAGTTCTCTGGGGGGAGGAGGGGAGTATGCAATGGGAGGGGTCGACGGGAGAATTTGCAATGGGAGGGGGTAGCGCGTTCCTGGGGGAGCGGGGGTTTCCTGGGGGGAGGAGGGGAGTTTGCAATGGGAGAGGGTTCCCTGGGGGAGGAGAGGAGTTTGCAATGGGAGGGGGGCAGGCGGGTTCCTGGGGGGGCGGGGGTTCCCTGGGGGGAGGAGGGGAGTTTGCAATGGGAGGGGGGCAGGCGGGTTCCTCGGGGGGCGGGGGTTTCCTGGGGGGGGGGGAAGGGGCGTTTGCAATGGGAGGGGGGCAGGCGGGTTCCTGGGGGGGAGGGGAGTTTGCAATGGGAGGGGGCAGGCGGGTTCCTCGGGGGGCGGGGGTTTCCTGGGGGGGGGAGGGGAGTTTGCAATGGGAGGGGGGCAGGCGGGTTCCTCGGGGGTCGGGGGTTCCCTGGGGGGAGGAGGGGAGTTTGCAATGCGAGGGGGGCAGGCGGGTTCCTGGGGGGAGGAGGGGAGTTTGCAATGGGAGGGGGCCAGGCGGGTTCCTGGGGGGGCGGGGGTTCCCTGGGGGGGAGGAGAGTTTGCAATGGGAGGGGGGCGGGGGTTCCCTGGGGGGAGGAGGCGGTTTGCGAGGGGGAGGGGCGGGGGCAGGGGAAAGGGGGGGGGCCGCAGCGCTTACCTGACTCACGCGCTCCATTCCCCGGATACGCGCGCGCGCTGACCTCACCAAACCCCACCCACCCCTCCACGTCAGGCCCCCACCGCCCCCGCCTCAGCTGATCTAATGAGCTCATTTGCATACCCCCTTGCAGGGCCCGAGCCTCCCCCACCCCCCCGCTGCTGGGTGCGGCGCCCTGGGAGGGTCCCACTGCAGTGGGGCAGTTCCCCCCCCCCGGGGACCTGTCCTCCCCCCCTCCTGGCTCCGGGGGGACCCGTCTCTGGCCCCCTCCCTTGGGCTCTATGCCAGCTGCTTTGCCCGCCCCGCCTGCCTGGCGCCTCTCTGTCCATCGGGGCCCCGCCTGCCCCAGATCCCCCCCCACCACCAGGTGTCGATGGCCGGGGTGGGGTGGGGGTTTCAGCCGGTCCCTTCACGCCCCAGTTGTTCCACCCCTCACAGCTCTGCAGCAATTACCCGCCCGCCACCCACGGTTTCCTCCGGCCGCCCCCGCTTGGGGAGCAATCCCAAGGCCAGGAACAATAGTACAGAAAATTCCCACTGCATGCCCGCCTGGGCGGGGCAGGGGAGCTGGGCTGAGATCCCCCTGCACGGGGTGGGGGGGGATAGCTGGGGGTAGAGGGGGAACAAAGCAGCTAGGCAGGCCCCAAGTGTGAGCAACCCTGCCATGCTGCCTGAGCCTGCAGAGAGCCTGAGCCCATCGCTGGGAGAGGGGCATGCTCTCCAAGCCCGCACCTAGCCCAGGCCAACCCTGGACTCCAGAGCTGCACCCTGGTTAATTTGAACAGTTGGACTCTATGATGTCTTGGGTGGGAGGAGCTTATTTAGTGGGTGGAGCTTAGAAGAGCCCCGCCTCCTTTTCTCACCCCCTCCGCTGCCAGACCGGGCTGTGTCTGCCCAAACAGAGGGGAAATCTCTCCTCCCTCATCCATGGGGCAGTGCCTTTCAGCCAGCACCAGAGCCAAGGGCAGTTGATCTAGCATAGGGGGCAGTTGATCTAGCATAGGTGCTTCTCTGGCCCCCTGTTCCCACAGCAGCTGAGCCCCTCACTCTCTTTAACGACACCCCCAAGAGGAGGGACAGGGCTCTTGTCCCCTTGGTACAGATGGGGAAACTGAGGCAAGGAGTTGGGCCTAAGGTCAGCCAGGGAGTGTGTGACACGGCAGGGAATTGAATCCAGGCTTGCTAAGTCCCAGGCTGTTGCACTAACCACTGGACAGGCCTACCTCTTAGCAAAAGACTATTTCTTTTTCCTTTGTACACCCCAGCCCAGCCCAAAATGCCATTTCATCGAAATTCACTCATTTCTGGCAAAGGAGTCGGCGTTTCCTGGTGGAAAAATGCTCTGTCAGGAAGCACCCGGCCACCTTGACTTCACAGTCTTCAAACCCCTGCATAGCCCAGCGTGCGCTGAGCACACCTGGGCCCTGCTGAGGTTCTCGGAGGTGTCAGTCACCTGCTGGGGTAGGGGTAAAGATGTAGCCCTGCCTCCCCAGAGAGAACCCCAGGGCCTGCCTCTCGCTGATCCCCTCAATAACTCCGCCCCAGGCGTGTCTACCCTTAACTCCACCCTCTTGTATGTCTGCCCTTAACTCTGCCCTCTCCATGGATTCATACCATTTAAGACCACAAGGGCCCATTGTGACCATCCAGTCTAACCCCAGAGAATGGCCTAGAGTGATTTCCAATAGCTGGACTTGAACAAGAGCATCTCTCATCTCCAATTTTCAGTGATGGAAATTCCACAAAACCCACCCCTATCCGCACCCCTCTATCCTTCTATCTATCCCTCCATCCATCCCCATACACCCCTTCTATTCATCCCTCGCTCCATCCATCCATCCATCCCCATAACCTCCTGTATGTATCTCTCCATCCCTCCCTCCCCATACACCCTATCCATCCATCTCTCCCCATATGTCTCTCTCTCTCTCTCTCTCTCTCTGATGTGTGCAGAGCAGGTTGGATTCCCCAGCTGCCAGCCCAGCAGCCCCATGCCACTGCTAGGGAAGAAGACGCAGTGGGCTGCTGTCCCGGGTTTATTGTGACGGGGTCCCTGTCCCATCGTCAGTTCTCCCGCATGGTCCTGCAGATCCAGCCCAGGAATTTGCAGACCCTGGTGTAGACCCCAGGCTTGTTGGACAGGCCGCACTCCACCTCTCCCCAGGAAATGACGCCCTGGAGCTCTCTGTCGCAGACCAGAGGGCCCCTGGAGTCACCCTGTAGAGACACAACCCAGCGGGAAGCAGAGAAGTTAGGGCCAGGATTGTCCATTACACCACCCAGCCTGCCCTCTTGCCTACCCCAGGCTGGAAAACCTCCCCCAGGGATCCCTGCCTGCGGCCCAGATCTGGGGATTGAGCTAGCACACCCTTAACTCTGCCCCTTTGTAGATTTCAAGCCCACATCTGGTGGTTGAGCTAGAGCGGAGCTTTTAGAGAGAGATGCCCGATCTCGATGGGAAGACTCTAAGGTCTAGTGAATCCGCCCCATCTCTGAGGCAGTCATGCGAAGGGTTAATCCCCCTCCATGGGGAAAATTTGTCCCTTGTTTCCAGCCTGGATTTGTCTCACTTCACCACCACCACCACCACCACCCCCGAGCTGTCAGCTCTTGCTCTGCCCTTGTCAGCTGGGTTAACGAGCCCTCTGCTCCTTGAAATCTGCTCTCCAGGGAGATGCTGACAGACTGGGATCAAGCCCCCTCTGAAACTTCTGTGGGAGAATCTCCACAGATGGAGCTCCTTCAGTCTCCAGCTCTCGGGCAGGTTTTCCAGCCTTTTGATTGTTCCTGCCACGTTTCTCTGACCCCTCCCCAATTTCCCAACGTCCTGTTTGACATGTGGCCCCACCAGAGCTGGGCGCAGTCTCCAGTCATGGTCTCCCTGATGCCATATCCAGAGGGGACCCCACTTCCCAGCTCCTACTTGTCCAGGGTTGTGCTCGCCCTCTTAGCCACAACATCAGCCAGGGAGATCATGGGCCATTGGTCCTGGGTCCTTTCCAGACTCGCTACTTTCTAAAATACTGCCCCCAACCTCGAAGTGTGAGGTACAATCATCCTAATGGCCTATTCCTACTCAATGGTGATCTAAAATAACTCTAGTCTCATTTTAATCCCTTACTTCATCCCCTTGTGCGTTTCACCTTAACTCCTCCCGCTTGTATGTTTCACCTTAACTCCTCCCCCTTCAGAGATTTTTCCAAGACCAAAAGGGACTATTGTGATCATCTGAACTGACTTCCTGTGTAAGATATGACAGAGAATTTCAGTGGTGTGTCTTCCTCACCTACTGAGTCAATGACAGAGCTGGGTAAGATTTTTCAACCAGCATTTTTTTTTTTTTTTGGCAAAAAATAAGATTCAATGACACCAAAATATTTGGTGAATCTGTGCTGGTTTCGTTGGATTGTTCATTTCGGGTGGAGGGGGGGACAATTGCCAAAAACAATCCAAATGTTTCCTTTTGACATTTTCCAAATGGAATGGGCCAACTTTTTGGAGCAAAGAACCAAAATTCCTTGCTTCAAAATTCCCTTCCACGCTGTTGAATGAAAAATTTCAGAAAAGTGTAAAAATGCTCCGAATTGACCCCAAATGATTTTATTTAGCCTTTTCAAGGGGCTGAGCATTTTGAAAATCTCTGTTTGGGCTGACCTGAAAGTATATATTTTTGTCAACGTTTTTAACTCCCCAGACATCCCAGAAGCCCCCCTCCTCAGTGGCACCCCTGGGGAACCCCCCCACCTCACCTGGCAGGAGTCCTCACCTCCTTCCTTCACCCCTGCACATAACATGTTATCGGTCACGCCCGCAGGGTATGCCGTCTGACACACTGCTGAGCCCGTGTTGATGTCCGTGCAATGTAGGAAGTCGGAAAATGTCACTGCAGGGAGGAAGCAGAGAAGAAAGGGTTAATTGGCCATTGGTGATGGACAATTGCCGATCAATAAATATAAACTAAAATGCTCTATGCTCTCTTTACCAATGTAATGCATAATTAATAGGAACTAATTAATATATGTCATTAGTAGCTAATAATTTTGTAATTAATAGTGATCAGTATAATTGATAGTAATTGATTGGTCATAATTAATTATTTCTAATTAACAATGATCAACACAGTGGATAATCAATAACCGATAATGAATGGGCACATTAGCAACCATGATTAATAGCAAATAGTTTCTAAATTAATAATGATCAATAAAATTGGTAGTAATTGGTTGACAGTCATTATTAACTAATTATTTCAAATTAAGAGTGACCAATGTAATAGATAATTGCTCTTCAATAATTAATTGGGAATATTAACATCCACAATTAATAGCAAATAATTTATAATTAATAGTGATCAATATAATAGATAATCAATAATCCATAATTAATAGGTAATAATTGCCATAGTAATAATAGTTTCTAATTAATAGGGATCAATAAAATTGATACTTGATAATGGGAAATATAAACAACCATAATTAATATAAAAGTGTCTAATTAATAACGATCAATAGCTAGTTGATAACTAATAGGCAATATTAACAACCATAATTGAAAGCAAATTGTTTCTAATTGAGAATAATCAATATGTGGATAACCAATTACCATTTATTAATGGGTAATTTCAATGGCTTTACCTATGAGCACATTGTATCTAATTAATATAATCAACATTATGGATAATTGATAGCCCATAACTAATATGTATGTTAACAGCCATAATTAATAGTGATAGTTTCTAATAACAATCACTGTAACTGACACGGTGTGGGTGACATTCAATACCTAACAGTGTCTCATTAATACTGACTTGAGTCGGTAACAGTGGATGGCTGACGTATAGTAACTAATCACTTTGCATTCATAATAATGGTCATTACCATAGGCAATGGGCAGCTGGCAATTAATAACCAGTAATTGATGATCAATAGACTGGAAGATTGATAATGAATAGCTAATGAATTCATCACTTAGAATCCCGCTTGGTACAAGCCTCAATCATGAACAACTGATCGGGCGTCATCAATAATCAATAATCGGTCCTGGATAGCCGATAACGATCCCCCCACCCACCCGCAGCACTAGCCCCATACCTGGGGGGCTGGCGGTCGTTCCCCACCCCGACACCAGGCAGCACCGTCCGGGAGGGGCGCAGCCGTGGGCCGTGGCAGGGGCTGCACATACTCGTTGATGGCAGCAGGGGGCGCCAGCTTGAGCAGCAGGAGGTCACTGTTTTTCAGGGTGACCAGATGAAACGGACAAAATATCGGGACACAGGGGGGAAGCAAAAAAAAACGCGGCCGGAGCGCAGTTGACGAAACAAATTTAAAAAAACCACCGGAGTGGCCAAAGCCGCAATATCGGGACACGGGACAAAGAGCTAATCGGGACAGTCCCAATTTTATTGGGATGTCTGGTCACCCAACTGGTTTTGGTGCGCAGGTCGTAGCGGGGGTGGCGGATGGCGCGCACGGCCCCCCTGAGCTGCTGGCCCTGGGTGGGTCGCCGCAGGTCGTGAGCCCCCAGGCGCACCTGGGTCAGGCTGGGGGCAAAAGAGCAGGCCTCAGGGATCCTTGCAGGGTCATCACCCCTAGATCTCAGCCCCCCAGCTACTAGATCCCACTCCCCTTCCATAGCTGGGGATAGAACCCAGGAGTCCTGGCTCCCAGCCTCCCCCTCCCCCCCGCCCCGCTCTAACCACTAGATCCTACTCCCCTTCCAGAGCTGGGGATAGAATCCAGAAGTCCTGGCTCCCAGCCCCCCCTGCTCTAACCACTAGATCCTACTCCCCAGCCAGGGATAGAACCCAGGAGTCCTGGCTCCCAGCCCCCCTTCTCTAACCCCTGGATAACCACATACGCGGCTTGATGAATATTGCAGCCTACCGAACACAGGCAGTTCTTTTAGCTCAAGCCCTATGGCCTCCTGCGGTCAGATCCGGAGGTCCCAGGTTCGTTCCCCGCCCGAGGGCTGTCGCACCCAGACCTACTCGGTGTGGCAGTGTGCCGCAGTGAGCACCCACTCTGGGCTGATCAGGGTCCCCCCCCCGCAGTTGTAGCCCTGGGGGGCATAGAGGGCAGCCTGCCAGGGCTGGGAGTGGGCCACGCAGGGGTGACTCCAGACCAGCATCTCCGCGCCTGGGGCGGCGGCTGGAAGACAAAGCCATGGAGGGGCATGGGGACTGGTGGTGAAGGGACCATGGGGGAAGCAGGAGGGGCATGGGGAGATGGGGGAGGGAGCACCAGGAGGATAGGGGGCAGGGAACCCATGTGGGGAGGAGATGGGGGCAGCTGGTACCTGTGGCCCCCAGCAGAAGCACAATGACCAGCATTTCCATGGCACTGCAGGGACCTGGCACCATCTGGTCCTGGCTCTCCGTGAAGGACACTGTGGGTGGGGAGATGAAAAGGAAGGTGTTAGCTGGGAATTGTTCCTCCCAGCCCCTGCCTGAGTGCTGGACCGGAACCGGAGCTCACTAGAGGGAAAAGGCCCCCCGCCCCATTCCCTGCCCACGAGATTCAAATTTTCATAAACAGCAAACATCAGAGGCATAAACGGGTCAGAAGATGAAAATTTTTCCCTGCAGGAAAGGTTAAAAAAAAAAAAGGAAGAAAAATGGGCGGAAAAACCCACAAAAATCTGAACTAAAAAGCCAGATAGAGCCCGGCTTGGCTTAGATTTGTACTTGTGCTTTCTTAGGGCCTGATTCATGCTGGTTTTTTAACACTTTGGATTGACAAGACCAAGCTCCAGCTTGCCGGGAGGCACTATACAGACAGTGTCACTCATTTAACCTAAGGCGTGAATTTAAACTGCCACAGTTCAGGCAGTGCGACAGGATGGGATCATTTGGGTTAAAAGGAGCTGAGCCCAGTTTAGCTGAGAACAGTTTGAGTTGGTCAGACGTTTTCCGATGAAAAGGCTTTTGTCCTTGGACTGTGCAATTTAGTCAAAATCAAAATTTCCTGTGGGAAAAGGCCAGATTTGACACCGTTTTTCAGTTTCCTGAATAAACGCCTACCTCAAAGCACCTTACAAAGGCCATCCGTTGCGTTGTCCTCATTGTGCAGATGGGGAAACTGAGGCAGAGAGGGGGAGATGTGACTCACCCACGATCACGGTGCCCTATCCAGTAGGCCCCGCTGCCTCCCCAAGGTGGGGAAACGACACATCGAGTCGAGCCAAAAAGCTTGGGGTTGAGTAAATGACTCATCTGGTGTTTTGTTTCCAGGTTGAAATTTTCCCACTTTTCATGCCACAGAAATCCTCGAGGTTTGGACTTTTGGGCCTCAGCTCAGGATCAAAAACAACCCTAGAAACACTGGGGCATTCCCATGGGATGGAAAATCCCCCTCTGCCACCCACCCGGCCCTGAGAATTAGCTTCAGTGGAGCCCAAAGACGCCACTTTGAAACCAAAATCCAAGGGGGGGTTGCTCCGATTTCGTTAAACTGACTTAAAACACAATTTAAGGATATTTCCTCAGAACACAAGGAGCAGCATTTGCCAAAACTGCACGGTGATCTAGGATTCTAAATCCCATTGGCTTCCTAGGGGGTTTAGTCTCCTAATTCACACAGGCACTTGGGGAAATTTTATCGCTGATCTCAGAGAGATGCATCCTTTCACCCTTCTATCACGGATTTTTCTACAGCCCATCACCGGGGCACCTGGTATTTTGCCTGTCCCATAGCATCTCCTGGCATTGGTGGGTAATAAGGGTGATGCTTTTTCCCCACCACCAATCATTAATGGTGCAGCGTCCAGACTCCGGACTGATACTTCCCTGCCTCGTCCTTCTCCCGACAACCTCCTGCGTTTAACCCCGTCCCAGCCAGGAGCAGGGTTTCTGGGCTACAGAAAGTGTCCTTCCTTCCCCAGCCTAACTACCTGCTATTGGCGGGTTGTCCTCATTTTGCCCGGCACCGTTCCCATCGCGTGGAGGTCACGTTGGGTACAGGAGTGAGGCTTAGACGTGTCGCTTGGTGGATCCCCAATGGCTGGTGCCCAATCAACTCTTCTTGGCCCCCACAGTTGATGAAAGGAGCGTATGAGAGCAGTGGCGTCTCCCCCAACAGCCAAGCACCCTACCCAACGGCAGAGCACCCTACCCAATGGCCAAGCACTCTAAGAGTTGGCATCTCCCAATGGGTGTGCATTCTAACGGGTGGCATCTCCCAGTGAGCATGGCGCTGCCCATGAATGTAAGTCGATAACATCCCCAGCCCCGGGGCCCCCCACCTGACACAGGGAGCTGGGCTCTTTGAAGAGCACATTTCGGGGGTCGGTTTAACGGGGCAGTTGGCGGGTCGCATTTTTGCTTTGCAGGTAGGGGACCAGGGAGCGAGTGTGAACAATGGGACACTTTGGGGCGGGGGGGGGGAGGGAGGGTTGTTGCCTGTCTAAGACAAAACCCCGATATCAGAGGATTTGGGCTCTGTTTGCTCATGAAACGAGGCAGTTTGCAAAAAAAAAACCAAAACCCTGGAACCAAAGCTGGGACCGATGGCTCCGTTTTGAAGTAAAAAAGAAAATTCAGCTTAAGGTTTTCAATTATTTTTCGTTTTTTAAAAAAAAAAGGAAGTTTTTAAAAAACCCAAACCACAAACTTTCAACCCAAACCGCGACCTGGGTTTTTTTTTTTTAACCAAAAAGGGGTTTTGAAACTGAACTTTTTTCTTCATCAAATGCCCCCTGGCCCCCACAAAATATATTTTCCAGGAAAAATAATTGTAACCAGAACATTTGTGGCTCAGGTTTTTGTTTTTCAGTTAAAAACCAGGAGGCTGCAGGTTTTTAAACGTGGCAGGAGAATATCTGCTGCTTTTTTCCCCACTTTTTAACCAAAACCTCGAATGTTTTTGTTTTATTTGAACCCAAAAACTGTTCCTGAAAATGGTATTTTTTGTGTTACTCCTGATGTACACCAGGGTGAGTGAGGGGGAATCGGCCCCATTGACACCCATGGAGTTACTCCTGATTTACACCAGAGAGGGGAATCCCCCTCCCCGAGTTACTCCTGATTTACACCGGGGCCAAGAAGGGCGTCTGGTTCTAAGGCTGTTGGATCAGCACACCAGCCGAGACAAACCAGTAAGACTCGGGCCCGGGGTTTTGCTCAGTTCCCTTTATCTGCTGCGGTTCCCGGCTGCCAGCCCCACATGTTGGGCTCTGCTGGGCTCGAGATACAAAAGGAGCACTGAAAGACAATAAAGTCATTGCGGGGAAACTAAATTAATTCTTTGCTTCAGTCTTCACGGCTGAGGATGTGAGGGAGATTCCCAAACCTGAGCCGTCTTTTATAGGTGACAAATCTGAGGATCTGTCACAGATTGAAGTGTCACGAGAGGAGGTTTTGGAATTCATTGATAAACTTAACGGTAACAAGGACAGGTTACAAACCATAGTTAACAGTTCCGCAATTTCACATTTGAGTTCTTTCAGAACTCTTGAGTGAATGCCATCTGGCCAGGAAGAGCCTAGCCAGGGCCCAGGAACTGCAAAAGGGCTGGTACGACAATGTGCCTAATTGGAAACCAGAAGAGGGGTCTCAGCTCAGTGTGAAGAGCACCTGGGGAGAGCCCTGTGAAAGCAGCAACCAGCTGAAGGAGGTGAGTCATGTCCTGGAGATGCCCAGTTGGGCAATTGTACCATGTTGACACAATGAAGCTGTACTTTGACAGGGAGACTGTTGGAGTGGCCGTGTGTGTGGACAGGCAAAAGAGAAGGGGAAAGGGAATCTCTCTCCTAAATCAGGAGCCAACCTCCTGCTCAGATAACTTCCCCTCTCTGACCAGCTAACCCCTGCCCTCCAGCTGAGATCAGAGGGGCTGCGTTTGTACCCACTGGGCGCCAGCTGGCCTGGGCTCACTAATCTCGCTGTCCCGGGGAGCAGGGGGAGGTGTTCCCCGTTCAGAGTCACCGGGAAGACAGCCCGGGATCCGGAAGAGAGGTCAGTGACATGCTGGAGTTAGGGGTGATCCAGCCATCCTCCAGCCCCTGGGACTCACCCATGGGGCTGGACCCCAAGTAAAACGGGTTGATCAGACCTGGTGTGCACTATTGGAAGCTCAATACTGTCACCGCGTTTGATGCCTGCCCCATACCCAGGATTAACAAAATCCTGGACAAGTGGGCAGGCGTTACCTCATTACTGTGAATCTCACCAGGGGCTACTGGCAGGTGCCTTTGGACCCAGTTGCCAGGTTGAAATCTGCTCCCATCACCCCAGAGGGTTCTGAGTTTCAGATCCTTCCTTTTGGCCTCAAAGGGGCGCCTGCCACCCCCCAGTGCCAGGGGATCAGTTACTGAGGGGGGTGGAGGACTGTGCCCGGCGTATGTTCATGATATCTGTGCCTTCAGCCCGACCTGGGAGAACCGTGTGTCCCAGTGAAGAGGGGTCTGGGAGGCCTCCAGGATGCAGGACGGATGATAGAGGCCAGAAGGGGTAAGATGAGGGTGGCAGAGGTGTCGTACCTGGGCCACATGGTGGAAAGCAGCTGCCTAAAGCCAGAGCCAGCCCAGGTGAAGGTAACCAGAGATTGGCCCATTCCTCAAACCAGGACACAGGCCCAGGCCTCTAATGGGATGGCCGGGTACCTCTGAGGGTTTGTACCCCACTTTAGCTCCCATTACAAAGATTACGGACAAGCTGAGCAGATGCCAGCACATTGCAAGCTTAGCCACAAGAACCTGCTTCCAGCAGGGGGGTCTCAAACGTTTATGGCTGGGCCCCCTTTGAAAATATTTCAGGCTGTGACAACCCCACCATGCCCCCAAAGTGACAGCAAATCACTGGTCATAGACTAAGGAACAGTAAATGAAGCATGGTGGCGCTAACCCTGCCCCCAGTGGCTTCCCTAAACGGCCCAGGCTGGAGGTCAGATCACTCAGCCAGCCGCATCTGTCTGGGCATCGCTGGGGCACTCCACCCCCCGGTGCCAAGCTGGTCACTGGACCTGGGCTGGTAGGAGCCTGCATGGGCTTCAGCTCTGTCCTCATCTCTCTCTGGCCTGGGTGTAAACTGGGTCCTCCTACGTCCCTACTGCTGCTGAGCTGTAATGAAAGGGAAAGCTCGTCCTGTCCAAGGCATACGGCAGTGTCCTCGAAATATGGTACCCCTAGATCTCACGCCCCCCCAGTTTGAGAAATGCTGATAGACGTTTCCAAAATGATCTTGTTGGGCTGGTGCAGAACGGTCTGGCTCATGTCCCTGCCTGGCTGTGCGGATGGGGGACCCGCTCCGGGTGCAGCCCTGCCGAGAGCTGGGACCCGCTGCCGGCCCCCTGGGTGCAATGCAGGCCCTTGGGGATATGTCTGCACTGCAATTAAACACCCGCGGCTGGCCTGCCAGGCTGCAAACTCGCCGTGTAGACGTGCAGGCTTGGACTGGAGCCCAAGTGCGGGGACTGTGCCCGGAGGGACGGTCCCAGGGCCCGGGCTCCAGCCTGAGCCCAGATGTCTACACAGCAATTTTTAGCCCCCCAGCCTGAGTCAGATCAGACGCCAGCCGTTCCACGGGGCTTTTATTCCAGTATCGACGTACCAGAGACTCCCCTGTCGTTTTGACACGACTTTTCCCCAGGCTTCACCCCAATGGCGCGCGGCCTCCGGTTCGCAGCGTCGCTTTCTCGGGGCCCACAGCAGCCGCGAAGCGGGTAACTCACTGACACACTTTGCACCCCCCTCTAGCCCAGCAGTGCCCCTGTACCTCACCATCACTACCGCTGGCCTCTGCCGGGCGGGGCAGTCACCCTGGGAAGGAGGCACCTTGCACCTGGGAATGAGGGACTGTGGGACAGCCAGGATTCTTTAATTAACCGCGCTCTTTTATTTAAAGAAAAAAATCTATGCACAAGCAGATCTGAGATTCCCGATTCTTCATCAACAGCAAGAGGCAGTCCCTGCCCCAGCTGGCATCAGGGCCCCAGGTGCTGCCCAGACACAGCGAGAGACAGTCCTGTCCTGAATCACTCGCACTGCAAAGAGAGAAGACAGACAAAGGCCGGGCGGGTCAGCAGAGAAAGGAGGGGGTTTCCCCAACGTCCATATGACAGAACTGGCAAGAGGACCCGGCCGCTCTGACTCCCGGCCCAGTGCCGGACCCACTGGACTCCTGGATATAGTGGGGCCGGCTCCAGCTCCTTCCCTGGCTCTGGGCAGCCCCTCGCTGCCTGAGATTAAGGAACAATCATGAGAGCAGCTGAAAACCAGGAGATTTTAAGAAAGAATCCAGGCGCGGCCAGGCCTAGTAGCTTCCTGGCGTCTCGGGCTCCAGGGCCTGCCCTGCCCTGCGATTCTCCACCCTGGTGGGGCCACAAGCCCGGGTAGCCAGGAGTCCCCCATCCTCCTGAGACTCCGGGCGCCGGAAGCCAGAACTGTCACAATGAAGAGAGAATGAATGGAGAGTCAGTTTGGATGAGCTATTACCAGCAGGAGAGTGAGTTTGTGTGTGTATGGGGGTGGGGGGGTGTGTGAGAAAACCTGGATTTGTGCTGGAAATGGCCCACCTTGATTATCATGCACATTGTAGGGAGAGTGGTCACTTTGGATAAGCTATTACCAGCAGGACAGTGAGTTTGTGTGTGTGGTTTTTGGGAGGGGGGTGAGGGGGTGAGAGAACCTGGATTTGTGCAGGAAATGGCCCACCTTGATTATCATGCACATTGTGTAAAGAGTTGTCACTTTGGATGGGCTATCACCAGCAGGAGAGTGAATTTGTGTGGGGGGGGTGGAGGGTGAGAAAACCTGGATTTGTGCTGGAAATGGCCCAACCTGATGATCACTTTAGATAAGCTATTACCAGCAGGACAGTGGGGTGGGAGGAGGTATTGTTTCATATTCTCTGTGTGTATATAAAGTCTGCTTCAGTTTCCACGGTATGCATCCGATGAAGTGAGCTGTAGCTCACGAAAGCTCATGTTCAAATAAATTGGTTAGTCTCTAAGGTGCCACAAGTCCTCCTTTTCTTTTTGCGAATACAGACTAACACGGCTGTTACTCTGAAAAATGAAGATACAAGAGATGCCCTTGGCTCCCCCGCACCGAACTCGCCCTGCGCGGCTGTCAGCTTCAAGGGATTTCGGCTCCCGATTTCTGTCAGTTCCAAAGGGAGTTAGGAGCTGAAATACCTCTGAAGGTCGGGGCCCTTCTTTCAGTAGCGAAGGCAACGCTGCTGGGTGCTTTGGGAATCACCCCCACCGCTTTCGAGAGGCAGGAAAGAACACGCTGTGGCAAGTCTGTGGTGCTTTGTTCTTTCCTCTCTCTGCGCTGAAACGTGCTCAAAACATGCCTGAGCTGGAGACACAAAAGCTGCCGGCTTTCTTATGAGGCCTGGGACCGCCCTGGCTTTGTCTGGGCGCTTTCAGTGCATTGAAATCAGGAAGAGCAGTGGGACAACATTTTTTAATGTATAAATAGGGCCATCGAACTGGCCAGACAGGCTTAGCCTAGAGGCCCTTTGCGCTGTGTCCTGCCTCTGATAGTGACAGTACCAGAGGGTTCAGAGAACCCCATAGTAGCAGGTTAGAGAGAGTCTGACTCAGGGACAGTTCCTTCCTGACAGCCACTAGTTAGAGGTGGGTTCATGCCCTGGAGCATGAGAGTGTTTAATCTTTCCAAACTTAAAAAGAAAATTCTTCTCTAATGTCATTCTGGCTCTCCGCTTTAGCCATATAAATATCAGGTCCCTTTTCTGGGTCTTGCTGGGCTCTTGGCCTCAGCAAGATCATGTGGCAGCGAGTTCCACAGACAAATTCTGGGATTATATAAAGCAACATTCCCTCTCTTCCATTTCCAAGGGGCTGCCTCTCAGTTCCATTGCACGCTCCCTTCTCCTTGCACTGGGGATCCAGGTTGGGAACTACTTTTGCCCCTTCACCCACGCTCTGTGCTTTGTTTCCCAGCCCCGCGATGCTCTCCCTGTTCTCTGGCACAGAGAGCGAAAGGGAGAGGCTCGTGCACGCCAGCCAGTCCCCGCTCGACTCCCTGCAAGGATGCATCTTGGCCACCCGCACGCTGCTCCGCATCCTCACCCAGCACCTTGACACCAGCGTGTCCCTGGAACCGGTGGGGGGCGACGTCGACGTGGGGGAGAACCTGGAGCACCTGCTGCGGGCGGCGTGGGACATTCATGCGGTGGCAGAGCAGACGGACAGACACGTGCGGAAGAACACCAGCCGGGACCTGTACGCCCGCATGGCCTCCCCCCACACCTCGCTGCAGGAGAAGGGGGCCATCGTCCGGGACTTCCACCAGGCCACCCTGGGGATCTTCGGCAGCGTGGGTGGCCCCGTGGTGGCCGTGCTGCTGCGGAACGCCGGCCTCCCCGAGCGGCTGGAGGCGGCTCTGCGGGAGGCGGAGGCCTCCCCGGTGCTGCGCCTGCCGATGGACGCCCTGCGCCGGAGCAGTGAGGAGATCGCCAGGGCTGTGTCTGCTTGTGCCGCCCCTGGGGGCCCAGCTGGGGAAACGGCTGCAGGGCCCCCCGAGAACGGCCCCTTCTCCGGGACTGGCATGATGCAGAGCCTGGGCGACTACCTGCCTGACGCCCTCACGGGGCACCGGGCTAGGAACCGCCGGGCACCTGGAGGAGGCGCTCCGGGCTCTGGCACCGGCCTGCAAGTCTTTCCAGTTGGCGGCTGCTGCGGCTGAGGTCTCCATGGCCCTGATGACGGAGCAGCAGCCGGGAACGGGAGAGGGCCCGGGCCAGAATCCTCCCGGCGTCGCCCACTGAGCTGAGCAGCTCACGCACGGGCAGGCTTTGCCCCGGGCTGGTTAACGAGCCCGGCAGAGCCCAGCCGGTGGGGCTGGCAGCCGGGAACCGAGCAAAACCACAGGCCCGAGTCTAGTGGTTTGTCCCGGCTGGTGAGCTGGCCCACGCGCCGTAGAACCAGCCTCCCCTCTTGGCCCCGGTGTAAATCAGGAGTCACTTGGGAGGGAGTCCCCTCTCTGGGGTAAATCAGGAGTAACTCCATGGGTGTCAATGGGGCCGATTCCCCCTCACTCACTCTGGCGTAAATCAGGAGTAACATAAAAAATGCGGGCAGCGCTTCCGGACAGCTGGGGGAGAGCTGCGGCTGCCCTGGCACAACCGGCGGCTGTTGCCTTTCCTCAGCCTCCGGGCCAGGAACGTAATGGATCCGCGGGGCTGCGCAGGCAGGGGGCTGCAGGTCGGGAGTGAGGGGCACTGGCAGGACTGGGGGTGGGGGGCAGGGCTGGGCTGGCAGGGGCTGTGGGTCGGGAGTGAGGGGCACCAGCAGGGCTGGGGGGGGGTGGGGGGGTCTGGGCTGGCAGGGGCTGCAGGTCGGGAGTGAGGGGCACCGGCCGGGCTGGCGGGGGCGGGGGGGCAGGGCTGGCAGGGGCTGCAGGTCGGGAGTGAGGGGCACCGGCAGGGCTGGCGGGGGCGGGGGGGCAGGGCTGGCGGGGGCGGGGGGCAGGACTGGCAGGGGCTGCGGGTTGGGAGTGAGGGGCACCGGCAGGGCTGGGGGGGCGGGGCTGCAGGTCGGGAGTGAGGGGCACCGGCAGAGCTGGGGGAGGTGGGCGGGGCTGCGGGTCGGGAGTGAGGGGCACCGGCAGAGCTGGCAGGGGCTGCAGGTCGGGAGTGAGGGGGCACCGGCAGGGCTGGCGGGGGCGGGGGGCAGGGCTGGCAGGGGCTGCGGGTTGGGAGTGAGGGGCACCTGCAGGGCTGGGGGGGGCGGGGCTGCAGGTCGGGAGTGAGGGGCACCGGCAGAGCTGGGGGGGGTGGGCGGGGCTGCGGGTCGGGAGTGAGGGGAACCGGCAGAGCTGGGGGGGTGGGGGTGCTGGGCTGGCAGGGGCTGCAGGTCGGGAGTGAGGGGCACCGGCAGGGCTGGCGCGGGCGGGGCTGCGGGTCGGGAGTGAGGGGCACCGGCAGGGCTGGCGGGGGCGGGGGGCGGGGCTGCGGTTCGGGAGTGAGGGGCACCGGCCGGGCTGGCGGGGGCGGGGGGCGGGTCTGCAGGTCGGGGAGTGAGGGGCACCGGCAGGGGGGGCGGGGGCGGGGCTGCGGGTCGGGAGTGAGGGGCACCGGCGGGGCTGGGGGGGGCGGGGCTGCGGGTCGGGAGTGAGGGGCCACCGGCCGGGCTGGCGGGGGTGGGGGCGCTGGGCTGGCAGGGGCTGCAGGTCGGGAGTGAGGGGCACCGGCCGGGCTGGCGGGAGCGGGGGGCAGGGCTGCGGGTCGGGAGTGAGGGGCACCGGCCGGGCTGGCGGGGAGCAGGGCTGGGGGGGCGGGAGTGAGGGGCACCGGCCGGGCTGGCGGGGGGCGGGGGGCAGGGCTGCGGGTCGGGAGTGAGGGGCACCGGCCGGGCTGGCGGGGAGCAGGGCTGGGGGGCGGGAGTGAGGGGCACCGGCCGGGCTGGCGGGGGCGGGGGGCAGGGCTGCGGGTCGGGAGTGAGGGGGCACCGGCCGGGCTGGGGTGTGGGGGGGGGCGGGGGCGGGGCTGCGGGTCGGGAGTGAGGGGCACCGGCAGGGCTGGGGGGATCGGGGCTGCGGGTCGGGAGTGAGGGGCACCGGCCGGGCTGGCGGGGGCGGGGGGCGGGTCTGCAGGTCGGGAGTGAGGGGCACCGGCAGGGGGGGCGGGGGCGGGGCTGCGGGTCGGGAGTGAGGGGCACCGGCGGGGCTGGGGGGGCGGGGCTGCGGGTCGGGAGTGAGGGCCACCGGCCGGGCTGGCGGGGGTGGGGGCGCTGGGCTGGCAGGGGCTGCAGGTCGGGAGTGAGGGGCACCGGCCGGGCTGGCGGGGGCGGGGGGCGGGGCTGCGGGTCGGGAGTGAGGGGCACCGGCGGGGGCGGGGCTGCGGGTCGGGAGTGAGGGGCACCGGCCGGGCTGGCGGGGGCGGGGCTGCGGGTCGGGAGTGAGGGGCACCGGCCGGGCTGGCGGGGGCGGGGGCCCTGGGCTGGCAGGGGCTGCAGGTCGGGAGTGAGGGGCACCGGCCGGGCTGGCGGGGGCGGGGGGCGGGGCTGCGGGTCGGGAGTGAGGGGCGCCGGGCTGGCGGGGGGCGGGGCTGCGGGTCGGGAGTGAGGGGGCACCGGCCGGGCTGGCGGGGAGCAGGGCTGGGGGGGCGGGAGTGAGGGGCACCGGCCGGGCTGGCGGGGGCGGGGGGCAGGGCTGCGGGTCGGGGAGTGAGGGGCACCGGCCGGGCTGGCGGGGAGCAGGGCTGGGGGGCGGGAGTGAGGGGCACCGGCTGGGCTGGCGGGGGCGGGGGGCGGGGCTGCGGGTCGGGAGTGAGGGGCACCGGCAGGGCTGGGGGGATCGGGGCTGCGGGTCGGGAGTGAGGGGCACCGGCCGGGCTGGGGTGTGGGGGGGGCGGGGGGCGGGGCTGCGGGTCGGGAGTGAGGGGGCACCGGCAGGGCTGGGGGGATCGGGGCTGCGGGTCGGGAGTGAGGGGGCACCGGCCGGGCTGGCGGGGGCGGGGGGCGGGTCTGCAGGTCGGGAGTGAGGGGCACCGGCAGGGGGGGCGGGGGCGGGGCTGCGGGTCGGGAGTGAGGGGCACCGGCGGGGCTGGGGGGGCGGGGCTGCGGGTCGGGAGTGAGGGGCCACCGGCCGGGCTGGCGGGGGTGGGGGCGCTGGGCTGGCAGGGGCTGCAGGTCGGGAGTGAGGGGCACCGGCCGGGCTGGCGGGGGCGGGGGGCGGGGCTGCGGGTCGGGAGTGAGGGGCACCGGCGGGGCGGGGCTGCGGGTCGGGAGTGAGGGGCACCGGCCGGGCTGGCGGGGGCGGGGCTGCGGGTCGGGAGTGAGGGGCACCGGCCGGGCTGGGGGGGGGGGGGGCGCTGGGCTGGCAGGGGCTGCAGGTCGGGAGTGAGGGGCACCGGCCGGGCTGGCGGGGGCGGGGGCGGGGCTGCGGGTCGGGAGTGAGGGGCGCCGGGCTGGCGGGGGGCGGGGGGCGGGGCTGCGGGTCGGGAGTGAGGGGCACCGGCCGGGCTGGCGGGGAGCAGGGCTGGGGGGGCGGGAGTGAGGGGCACCGGCCGGGCTGGCGGGGGCGGGGGGCAGGGCTGCGGGTCGGGAGTGAGGGGCACCGGCCGGGCTGGCGGGGAGCAGTGCTGGGGGGCGGGAGTGAGGGGCACCGGCCGGGCTGGCGGGGGCGGGGGGCAGGGCTGCAGGTCGGGAGTGAGGGGCACCGGCCGGGCTGGCGGGGGCGGGGGGGCGGGGCTGCGGGTCGGGAGTGAGGGGCACCGGCAGGGCTGGGGGGATCGGGGCTGCGGGTCGGGAGTGAGGGGCACCGGCAGGGCTGGGGGGGGGGGGCTGCGGGTCGGGAGTGAGGGGCACCGGCCGGGCTGGCGGGGGGCGGGGGGCTGGGCTGCGGGTCGGGAGTGAGGGGCACCGGCCGGGCTGGCGGGGGCGGGGGGCAGGGCTGCGGGTCGGGAGTGAGGGGCACCGGCCGGGCTGGCGGGGAGCAGGGCTGGGGGGCGGGAGTGAGGGGCACCGGCCGGGCTGGCGGGGGCGGGGGGCGGGGCTGCGGGTCGGGAGTGAGGGGCACCGGCAGGGCTGGGGGGATCGGGGCTGCAGGTCGGGAGTGAGGGGCACCGGCCGGGCTGGGCACGGCGGGGGGGGGGAAAGCGAAAGGGAAAGCGTGTCTGTGCTCCCGGCAGCCTGCGATGGCGTCGGAGCAGTGGCGGGCGCTGGCCGCGCAGTTCCAGGTGATCTGCCGCCCCGGGGGGCCCCCAGGTGAGACCCCGGCCCCGCCCCTTACCCCTCCCCCCGTGGGGTCACCCCTGGGGAAGGGCGGGAGCAGCTGAGCTCCCGGGGGGTCGGGCCCCTCTCACCCCTCCCCCTCTCTCCCTGCAGGTGCGGGGCCCCCCGGGGCGCTGCGAGGCCCGGTGTCCTGTGGGCACTGGGTGAGCGCGGCCGGGCTGCGGGGATGGGTGCGGGCGCTGCTGGACCAGGTAACCCCCCCCACCCCCCCGCCCGGCTATGGGCAGGTGGGCGCCGGGCGGGGCCTCCAGGGGGGAGGAGTCGAGGGGATGGGGGAACTTCAGAGAAGATTTTGGGGCCAGTTGAGGGAGTGATGGGGCGTTGCTGGGGGGTGCCAGGAGACGGGGTGGGGGTTTAGGGGGAGGGTTAGTTGGGGTGATGGGGAAGGGGGTAGGGGTTCAGGGGGAGGGTTAGTTGGGGTGACGGGGAAGGGTAGGGGTTAGGGGGTGCCAGGGGGTTGGATGCAGAGTGACAGGGGAAGGGGAGGGGTGTTCCATGGGGAGGGGTCAGTTGGGGTGATGGGGAAGGGGGTGGAGGTTCAGGGGGAGGGTTAGTTGGGGTGATGGGGAAGGGGAGGGTTTAGGGAGTGCCAGGGGGATTGGATGCAGAGTGACAGGGGAGGGGTCAGTTGGGGTGATGGGGAAGGGGAGGGTTTAGGGGGTGCCAGGGGGATTGGATACGGAGTGACAGGGGAAAGGGAGGGGTGTTCCATGGGGAGGGGTTAGTTGGGGAAGGGAAGGGGTTGGGGGTGCCAGGGGGATTGGATGCAGAGTGACAGGGGAAAGGGAGGGGTGTTCCATGGGGAGGGGTTAGTTGGTGATGGGGAAGGGGGTGGAGGTTCAGGGGGAGGGTTAGTTGGGGTGATGGGGAAGAGGAGGGTTTAGGGGGTGCCAGGGGGTTGGATGCAGAGTGACAGGGGAAGGGGAGGGGTGTTCCATGGGGAGGGGTCAGTTGGGGTGATGGGGAAGGGGGTAGGGGTTCAGGGGGAGGGTTAGTTGGGGTGACGGGGAAGGGTAGGGGTTAGGGGGTGCCAGGGGGATTGGATGCGGCGTGACAGGGGAAAGGGAGGGGTGTTCCATGGGGAGGGTTAGCTGGGGAAGGGAAGGGGTTAGGGGGTGCCAGGGGGATTGGATGCGGCGTGACAGGGGAAAGGGAGGGGTGTTCCATGGGGAGGGTTAGCTGGGGAAGGGAAGGGGTTGGGGGTGCCAGGAGGATTGGATGAGGAGTGACAGGGGAAGGGGAGGGGAGATTGGGGGTTCAAGGGGGAAGGCAGTTGGGGTGGGATGGGGGTGGGGTAGGTGGGTGGCCGCGAGCCGCAGGGGAGAGCTGGGGGCTGATCTAGGTCCCCCCATTCCCATCCAGGGCATCACCTCATTCCGCTGCCCACGCTGCCCGGACACCCCTTGGCTCTGGCAGGAGCTGTGCAAACTCAGGCTCTTCTCGGACGAGGACCAGGCCACGCTGGAGGCCCAAATCCTGGCGCAGGAGGGCGCCAGGGGCAGCTACCGCCAGGTGAGTCCTGCGGGAGGTGAGCGGGACTTGGGCCCCTCTCTCCTGGATCTGGCTCAGGCTGGGATCTGGGCGGGGGTCTCAGTAGTTAATGCGTCCTCATTCTGCCCTGCAGTGCCCGAGCTGCCAGCACCTCGTCCAGCGCCTGGACCCCGGGACCCTGCGCACCCCCTGCCTGCCCTGCTCCCAGCGGGCCGGGGGGCTGTTCTGCTTCTGCTGGGGTTGCCGCAGGGAATGGAGGGACCCCTCATCCCATGCTGACTCGCGCTGCCCCCTACAGGCCGCGCTGCACGACGCCCCCAAGATCCAGGCCCCACGATCGTCCATCCACGGCTGCCCCTCGCTGCGGGCCTGCCCCGGTTGCAACGCCCTCCTGAGCCACACCACACAGGGCTGCCCCATGGTGGTCTGCCCTGAATGCAGGTGTTGTTTCTGCTACCGCTGTCTGCGGCCGTACAGGGGACACCAGCCTCCCTGCCCCATCGCTGACCCGCAGCTGGTCTGCGAGGGTGGGGTGGGGCTGCGGTCATCCCAACTCCCAGGGGCAGCCCTGTAGTGCCTGGCGTCATGAGCTGGAGCCAGGGGCTTTGGAGAGGAGGGATCTGAGACAAGAGGGGGCTGCTTTGACTCCCCTCCCAGGGCTGCCAGGACCCCAGGCATCGGGGGCAGGGGCTTCCTCTCCCTCCCTCAGTGCAGCGCCTGGCACAGCGAGGTCCCCGCGTGGCTGGGGCATTTAGGTGCCACCACAACGTAATGGAATTGTGTAAGGTAATTGTGTGTCTGAATGAGTGACTCAAATCGGCAATGAATGGACAGGGGGTGGACGAGGGGCCTTGAGTCTCTTCTAATATTACCATTAAAGGAAGGAAATTCCAAAGCTAAAATCTTTGATGTGATTGGATAATGGTTAAAGTATCAGTCATTGACATGTATGACAGAGAGAGAGATGTGGATATATGAGGATGGATAGATGGGTACGGGGGATGTATAGACAGATACTAAATTACAACAAAAACTAAGGAAATTCCCAGCCAATACCCTTCTGACAGGGGCTGCAATTGTTAAGTCCCTGGGAGCCGCAGCAGTAGGATATAGAGAGCTAGTCCCCTTTCCCTGGGGCAGACCTCAGTCTGTAATAGCCACTCATCACTGGCAAGGGGGAAGGACCAGCTGCCTCTGCAGCCCCAGTACCTCCTTAGGCCTTAACAAGGCCTCAGCCTGGAGAGTTACCAGGCTGGAGCTCCCCAGTGCCCCTTGCCCTTGCCCTTGCCCTTGCCCTTGCCCTTGCCCTTGCCCTGCAGCCAGGTCCTTCCCACTCCCAGGCTGAAATGAGACTAACCCAGGTCTTCCCTTAGCCCTTCTTATACTGGCCCAGCCAGGCCCTGATCGGCTGCCTCAAGCCCGCTCATGATTGGCTCCCTGGGGCAGCCCTTTCCCAGGGCTGTTTTAACCCCTTCCAAACCGGAGCGGGGTGACCTCCCCACTACAACTACAAAAGATAGGTGTTAAGTGATTATAAGTAGTAGGCAAAAAGAGTGGTTACCAAAATAAAATAAAATTTAAGCATGCAGTCCAAATTCTCAACCCGATTAGACTGGGCAACAACTAGGTTAAGCAGTTTTTCTCACCACACTGGATATTGCAGTCCTTAATATACAGGTTTGTCCCTTAAACCTGGGCCAGTCTCCTTTGTTGGAGTCTTCAGTCTTCTGATCGTTCTTGTTGCTTGCAGTGTAGGTGGGGGCAGGAGAAAGGCCGAGCGTGGGGCCCCTGGGTTCTATACCCTCAGTCCCATGTGCTTGGGGAACATGAGTCCAGGCATGTCTGGGGGGCATTGCTGAGTCCCCAGCAAGGTTGAGCAATTCCCCTGGTGTGGCCTCACGCAGGTGAGTCATTGCATCCTAGCTCCCTTGCTGGACAGTGGCTGTTAATGGTTGTTTTGACACCCCGCCTGGGCGTTGGTTACTTTCCTGGCTGTTGTCTCTGGGGAGCTAATATCTGTCTGATTCCCCAATTTACAGCATGCTTTAGGGACCACCATACAACACAATTCTCATAACTTCATATGCACTAAAGATATGAATATTTAGATGGAACAGTGGGTTTCAGCAGTTCCTAATCTTTCCCCTGATACCTCACATGGCCTGCTTTATGTGCAATATCATAGTTAAGTACAATTGAGGAATATGGGGGTTACATGGCGCTCCCCCAAGGTACAGAATGTCACAGGATGTTTGTAAAAAATTGAGACAAATAGAGGGAAAACAATCTCACTTTTTACCGCTCCCTGTTTTTCCAGTAGAAAAAAAAAGGGGGGTTAAAAAGTAAAAGAAAGTGTGACGAACCTCCCCCCCACCACACACAGACTCGCTTTTTCTTTTTTTCTTTCTTTCACTGGAACAATGTCAGTGGTTGTTTTTTCTTCCCGAGATTCCAAGGCCAGAAGGACAATTGTGATCATCTAGCCTGACCCCCATATGACACTGGCCAGAGACCTGCCCTGAGTTAATTCCTCCTGTTTGATCTAGAGCAGATCTTGTAGAAAAACATCCAGTCTGGATTTAAAAATTGCCAGTGATGGGATATCCACCACGGTCCTTGGTAAATGGTTCCAATGGTTCATTACTCTCTCTGCTAAAAACTTCCACCTTACTTCTGGTCTGAATTTGTCTAGCTTCAACTTCCAGCCATTGGATCTTGTTTGGCCTTTCTCTACTAGACTGCAGAACCCATCATCAAATAGTTAAGGAGGACTCGTGGCGCCTTAGAGACTAACAAATTTATTTGAGCATAAGCTTTCGTGAGCTACAGCTCACTTCATCGGATGCATGCAGTGGAAAATACAGTGGGGAGATTTTATCTACACAGAGAACATGAAACAATGGGTGTTACCATACACACTGTAAGGAGAGTGATCAGGTAAGGTGAGCTATTACCAGCAGGAGAGCGAGCACGGTGGGGGGGGACCTTTTGTCGTGATAATCAAGGTGGGCCATTTCCAGCAGTTGACAAGATCTTCTGAGGAACAGTGGGGGGTGGGGGAATAAACATGGGGAAATAGTTTTACTTTGTGTAATGACCCATCCACTCCCAGTCTTTATTCAAGCCTAAATTGATTGTATGCAGTTTGCAAATGAACTCCAATTCAGCAGTCATCAAATAGTTGTTCTCCAGGCAGGTACTTACCCTTCACCATCCTTGTCTTAAGCTAAATAGATTCATGCATAGGCCAGAAAAGGGCCGTAGTTCCTTGTACTTTAAGAGAACGTTAAAAAGTCAGAGGGTCATTTCAGAAAGTAACATTTTCAAAACTTCCCCCCCCCACACCTGGCACTAACACTGAAAAGGGAAAGTGTCAATTTTGCTCCCTTTTAAACGCATTCCTACATCACCTTCACACACAGCCTTTACTCGTGGAAAAAGAGGGAGAGAAAACAGGTAGAAAGTGGCATTGCCCCATTTTGAAATTGTGAACAATTTTGAAAATACAGAACAAAAAATAGTCCCCCCCCAATATTTAGTTTAGAAATTGTTTTAAAAAATACAAATGCTTTCATCACAAAGGAAACGAGTGTGCAAAACCACACCGTTCTCAATTAAACCTCCTTTTGCAACCAAAACATTTTGGTGAAGAAATGTTGACCAGCTCTTGGTTGCAGGGTTGGTTCCTGAGGGGAAGGGGAGAGGAATCTCCTGGGAGGGGAAAGGATACCCCGAGCAGTGGAAATGGCGAGAGTCCAATTTATACTGAGACCTGGCTGAAATTGGTCAAATGTTTTTTCCCATTAAAAATGGTTGGTTTGAAAATGAAAATGTCACACTGACAAATCTGATTTTCCAAATGTTCTGGGTTTCGTCTGACAAAAACGATTTTTGTTTTTTATTTTCCAGTTTTTTTCTTTTTCACCCCCTTTACCGGCGATTTCCTCTTTTCAGCAGCAAAAAGGAGGCAAGGGGGAGCGGGCTGAGAGGGAAAACCAAGGGAAAATTAAGTTTTGAATTAAAAAAGGAATGCCGCGATTTTAAAACGGAAAAGTTGGTGGCTTTCGAAAACTTTTTAAAACGTCCGATTTTGTAGTTGCCCCCAGGCCCCTTTCCCCCCAGCTCCTCCTCAGGGGACGAGCGGTTCGCTCTCAGGTCTAGCACAGGACTGGCTGTTTCTGTGAGACCCCAGGACATCTAAGGGTCCGTCTACACAGTCCGCAGCAGCACGGTGCCCCCGCTGACAGGCTCAGGCTCTCGGGGCTTGTGCTGGAGTACCAGGCAAAGCCGTGGAGACATTTGGGCTCTGAGGCCTGGGGAGGGACGTGCAGCTCGGGGCCTGCTGCTGGCTGTGTAGACTGACCCTAAAGGGGTCTTGGGGTGGCTGGGCCCGAGCACGGCAGGCCTGGATCCAGGCCCAGATGCGCCCGGCGGCCTTCCCGGGAGGGGGTGACAGACGCATAGGACAGAACTCACTAGTGGGACGGGAAGGAAGGAGCAACGTGGCCACAAGGAGGTGCTGATGCAGCACACGCTCCTCGCTGGGCTGCCGCTCCCCCAGGGCTGCGGGCGGAGCTGGAGCCAGGCTGCAGCGCCCACAAGGCAGGAAGCAACGCGCCCAGCCTGGGGCATCGGCACGAGGGCTGCTAGAAGCAGCCCCGCTCGGTGCCCCCGCGCTGCAGCCAGCCCAGCCCGGAAGCAGCAGCAGCCGCCATCCTGTGGACTGGAAGGGATCTCGAGCGGTCGCCTCGTCCAGTCCCCTGCAGTGGTGGATTCCCGCACAGCCGATGGGGCCCGTGCCCAGGGTCCCCGGCCAATTTGGGGGTCCCGCAGGAGCGGCTGGAACTCTGGCCCCGCCCCCGGCTCCTCCTCTTCACCCCTGAGGCCCCGCCTCCAGCCCAGCTGGATTAGATGCTTGCCAGAGCCGCACATTGAGCTGGCCAAAGGCCCCCCCCACACACGCTGTGCCAGACCAAGGGGGCTCCCTGCCCTGTGGGTAGCAGAGCTGGACTGAGCCCCTGCCATGCCCCCACACCATGTAGGGCTGGACCGAGCCCCTCTCCCTTCCCCTCCTCCCCACCCCCCCCACGTGCAGCTCTCCTGAGCTCCTCTCCCTTCCCCTCCTCCCCTGGTGCCTACTCCCCCCACGCAGAGCTGGCCCTGTCCCCTTCCCCATGCAGGGCTGGACCGAGCCACTCGCCAGAGCCCCCTCCTCCCCTGCTTGGGGCTGGCCCTAGCCCCACCGCTCACCCTCCCCCGCTCCCTTTCCTCTTGCCACTGAGCTCTGGGGCCAAAATGGGACATATGGTCACCCTAGGTCAGGGGTCCCAAAACATTTTCAGTCATACCCCCTTACCTCGTCTGCACCCCCCCTCCCCCGGGAGCTTGGACGAGGAGTGGGGCTGGGACCCACAGTCAGCGGCTGAGAGGGGGGTGCGTCTGGGAGCAGAGTTGGGGTGGGGGCCAGAGCGGAGCTGGGGGCAGTTCAGGGCTGGGCCCCGCCACGCCTCTCCCCGCCAAAATGTTCCTCCGTACCCTCCTCGGAGGCCAGACTCGACCGTTTGGGGAACACTGCCCAAGCAGGGAGCCCAGGCAGTAGTAAAGAGCCCCGGACCCTGCACCTGCCTTGGGCTGGGGGCCAGGGTGCCCGAGAGCAGCCCGCAGCCTGTGCTCTGCCCCCCAGGGCAGGTGGAGGGTCCAGGGTTCCCCACAGTGGCCTGGGCTTCCTGGGCAGCTCTTCCCATGGCCCAGCTTCTGGCCAGGCCAGGGGGCAAAGCCTTCGGGGGAAGTGGAGGGGCGGGGGGTGGCCCATGGCATGGGCGATGTGGGGGGCCCAAATGTTCTTTGTGCCCAGGGCCCCAATATATATTAATCTACCTCTAGTCCTCTGCATTTGTGACAGGACTAAGTATTATCTAGACCACCCCTGACAGGTGTTTGTCCAGCCTGCTCTTAAAAATCCCCAGTAATGGAGATTCCACAACCTCCCTAGGCAATTTATTCCAGCGCTTAACCACCCTGACAGTCAGGAAGTTTTTCCTAATGGCCAAACTAAACCTCCCTTGCTACCATTTAAGCCCATTGCTTCTTGTCCTGTCTTCAGAGTTTAAAGAGAACAATATTTCACCCTCCTCCTTGTAAAAACCTTTTATATACTTGAAACCTGTTACTATGTCCCCTCTCGGTCTTCTCTTCTCCAGACTAAACAAACCCAATTTTTTCAGTCTTTCCTCATAGGTCCTGTTTTCTAGACCTTTAATCATTTTGTGTGCTCTTCTCTGGACTCTCTCCAATTTGTCCACATCTTTGCTGAAATGTGACACCCACAACTGGACACAATACTCCAGCTGAGGCCTAACCAGCATGAAGTAGAGCAGAATTACTTCTCGTGTCTTGCCGACAACACTCCTGCTAATACATCCCAGAATGATGTTCACTTTTCTTTGCAATAGTGTGACACTGTTGACTCATATTTAGCTTGTGAGCCACTGTGGCCATTTCTGCAGTACTCCTTCCTCGGCCGTCATTTCCCATTTGTATGTGTGCAACTGATTGTTCCTTCCTAAGTGGAGCATTTTGCATTTGTCCTTATTGAATTTCATCCTATTTATCTCAGACCATTTCTCCAGTTTGTCCAGATCATTTTGAAGTTTAATCCTATCCTCCAAAGCACTTTCAACCCCTCCCGGCTTGGTATTGTCCGCAAACTTTATAAGTGTACTCTCTATGCCATTATCGAAATCATTGATGAAGATGTTGAACAGAACCGGACCCAGGACTGATCCCTGCAGGACCCCACTCGTTATGCCCTTCCAGCCTGACTGTGAACCACTGATAACTACTCTCTGGGGATGGTTTTCCAACCAGTTATGCACCCACCTTATAGTAGCTCTGTCTAGACTGTATTTCCCTAGTTTGTTTATGGGAAGGTAATGCAAGAGAGTATCAAAAGCCTTACTGAAGTCAAGATACACCACACCTACTGCTTCCCCCCATCCACAAGGCTTGTTAACCTGTCAAAGAAAGCTATCAGGTTGGTTTCACATGATTTGTTCTTGACAAATCCATGCTGACTGTAACTTATCCCTTTATTATCTTCTAGGTGTTTGCAAACTGATTGCTTAATTATTTGCTCCATTATCTTTCTGGGTACAGAAGTTAAGCTGACTGGTCTGTAATTGCCCGGGTTGTCCTTATTTCCCTTTTTTGCAGATTGGCACAATATTTGCCCTTTTCCAGGCCTCTGGAATCTCTCCCATCTTCCAGGACTTTTCAAAGATAATCGCTAATGGCTCAGATATCTCCTCAGTCAGCTCCTTGAGTATTCTAGGATGTATTTCTTCAGGCCCTGGTGACTTGAAAACATCTAACTTGTCTAAGTCATTTTTAACTGATTCTTTCCCTGTTTTAGCCTC